ACAGGGATATGTGTAACAGGTATTCTGTTGCCTGATATAGAGATCCTACTCGGGGATGAGCCTGTCCCCATTTCTAGTTTAGATTACATTGCAGACTGCTCAAAGAGGACAATTCAATTTATTCCTTTATTAGTAGGCCTAGGAATATCAGGAGCCTTAGGTATGGGGGCAGCAGGAGTAGGGGTTTCTGTCCAACTTTCCAACCAGATCATTAGTGATGTGCAGGCATTATCTAGTACCATTCAGGTCATTCAAGACCAGATAAACTCATTGGTTGAAGCAGTTCTCCAAAACAGAAGGGGATAAAATCAAGAGACTACAGGAAGACCTAATTAAAAGGAGGAGAGAGCTATTTGAAAACCCTTTATGGAGTGTCTGGAATGGAATCCTGCCCTATCTCCTGCCCTTGCTTGGACCATTGTTAGGAGTACTGCTCTTGGTCACAGTAGGTCCTTATATACTCAATAGAATAACTATATATGTCAGAAAACAAATGCAAGGCATAAAGTTGATGATGTTAGGCCAGCACGCCTATGAGCCTGTACCTCAAAATCCTTAAAATTAGGTCAAAGCTTTGACCTCAGTCACAACATCAGAAGGGAATGTTATAGCCTACTTTTAACAACTGCACCTCATTTCTGTTTTGTATGCACCACTCAGCCTCCCCCTTCCCTTCCTATTTTCTAGGTTAAGTTTCCATTTCCTGAGAAAGCTGTAAAAGCCTTAAGTACCAGTTTCCTGTAACCCCATCCCCTACCTCTCATCCGACTATCTGTAATAAAATGTGCTGTTCTTTAAGAAATGCTTATCTTCAAGGAAATTAGTTCTGCCCAGGTGCTACCTAACTGTGTCAGCGATTACAACATTCCTGTGGTTTTCACCGTTAAAACCCTAATTCCCCAGCTGTGTGGTTTGCAGTCTCCAAATTGGCTCCCGGCGATTGCGTCCCCAAGGCCTGGCCTAAAATAAAGCCTTTGCTCCCCAAATTTTAATTTCTTGCTTCCTTGGGTTTTATTCTGGGGTCCGAGCTATCACAATAACCAGAGATGAGTCAGTCTCCACAAAGGAATCTAGGTATCTGTCTGGTCACCATTCCATTCACTCCATTGGCCACTGGCTCAATGGGGATTCACCAAACAGATGCTGGGGAAACTGTCCTCTGCCTTTTGAGGGTGGAAGCTGCTATAAGAGTGATTCATTAGCTGGCAGAGCAACCACTGTTTGTCAACATTCTATAAGGGGCATTACTGATGCACAGGTAACCCAGTGGAATTCATTTCCTGCCATAGGTAAATTACCTAGGGCTGGGAAAGCTGACCTCAAGATAGAGCCCCGTGGTTCTGCCTCCCAGACTACAGTGTCCCATCTTGGGAAAAAGTCTCTACTGCCTTTTTCTTGTGTTTGAGCCATGACAAATGTTTTCTTTCAGATCCAGACATATGCTTAGATATGTTTCACAAATTTCTTCAGCATTCAAATGTTAAAATGCTAATGGTTGATAGCCATTTAATGTTCTATGTTAAGCTTACTGCTGCCTATATTATACAGTTACCAAACTCTTAGATGTTAGACAACTGAAATTAAGAGGCAATTATAAATTCCTTTCACTGGAAACTACTAGATCTTTTCCAGAAAAAAGGTTATATGATGCAAAACCACAAGACCAACACTTAAACAGAGGCCAGGCTTGAGCCTTTCCCAGCCTGTTTGCCTTCCCTGGCTTTGCCCTCTGCCCAGCCATAATTAACTATACTCAATTGATGTTAAATGACACCATAGCTGACCTCTCTCCTTAATAAAAAGGTAAAAATTAATAAAACAGGCCATCCTCCAAAAATCAGATGGCATTAGACATTTTAATAACATAAAGAAATACTTATATATGTCATAAATGACATGTCAGTTCCTAAAATTCCCTGGACTTTGTTCTCCTTATGGGAAGCCATTACTAAAGTTAATAAATACCCTGTTGATTGTATTATTTGATTCCTGAATACTTACTTAACTCTACAGACACCTTCTACTGTAGACCAGATCCCAAGACAACAGGCTAAACTTGGCCCTCAAACCCCATAGAGACCTTCTTAATATGGCTTTTCATGTTTTCAACCACAGAAATAAAAATTAACAATTTGATCTTTTAGTAGTAACCCTTGGAGTTCTAAGACAGGTAAATGGACACAAGGTGGAGCTGTCTGAGCCCCTCCCCAGACCATGCCTCAAAGCAGCAGAAGGACATTGGGCAAGAGAGTGCCCTATCCTGGCATTCCTTTGAGAACTTATCCCAGGGCTACTGGGACTATGCTAGCCACCAGAGAGTGGGTAAGCCACCCTAACTTTTAGCCCTCGCAGGAAATGCCAACACTGCCAGATTCATTGCTGACAGATCTGCTTAAATTTGCTGCTAAGACTGACAGGGCTTGGGGCCCACAGCTCCCATTAAGGTGTCCATCTCAGAGTCCCAAATCCCACTAGAAGTCTCAGATAAGACATTCTCTATACTTGTGGACATAGAGGCCATGTATAGGGTTCTTCCTGAGCTTTCAGACTGCTATGTTGAGTCCTCAGTCTCTATAGGGGGTATTGATGGCCAACCCATGCAGCCTATAAAAACAGGGCCTATTTCATGCAGATTCCAGGCTGTTTCTTCTCTGGCTGACCCTTCAATTTTTCCTTGTGTTCCTCAATATCCCATGGCTTCCAAACATTTATAGGGACTTAAACCTATAGTTAAGTGCCTTTTAGACAATGGTTTTCTTAAAGCTATCTATTCATCTTATAATACTTCTATTCTCCTGGTACTCAAGCCTGATGGGTCTTACCCTCTACTGCAAGATCTTAAGATACTCAGTAGTGCTTTTGTTAACACAGTCCACCCAGTGATGCCAAAACCTTATGCCTTGCTCTCAAATCCTTCACTCCACCACTCACTTTATAGTTCTAAATCTTAAAAATACCTGTTTATTCCTTTGTGTTTATGCAGACTGACCCAGACACTGAGGCCTCAAAAGCTTACACCTGTTATCACTAATAAACCTCTCCTCAGGGATATACAGCCCCCCCTTCCATTCTTTTTCACCATTTTCTCAGATACAACCCTCGTCAATATTGACAGATAAATTTTATCTTCTCACCTTTGTTTATACTTTTTCAGGATACATAAAGGCCTTTCCCACAACCAGGGAGACTGCTGATATACTTACTAAAGTCCTGTTACAACAAATCATCACAAAGACTACAACCAAGTTAGAGCAGCCCAAACCTGTTCTTCTTGGCAACCTCAGCAGTGGTCAAAGTTGCTAGACTGTCATCCTGGTTTCACATCACTCAGGCTAAGTGGTGCCCTTCCAGCCCTAGATCTAACCATCTTTTGCCCACTCATCTTCACCTCACCAAAGACTCACAGCCACAACTCTCATGCTATCATGTTTTGATATCCAATTTGGTTCCTAATTTCTTATCCTTTTTACAGCAGGACTCTCAACAGTCTTTCCTAAAGACTCCCACATCATGCATACCAGAGACAAGCCTCACCTATTTACCCTCTTAACTTTTACCCTTTCAGATGGGGGAATAATCACCTCTGATAACCCCACAGATTTTTCAGAATTCCTGCAATGATTCTATCTCAACATAGTCCTGATAAAATGACATATCCAAATCAAAGGCACCTTTCCTTCTACCTCACTTGGGTCCTTAAATATGATAGTGCCATGCCTCCTCATAATACCTTGTCTCTTTGTTTTTCCAGTCTAACGTCCGGGCATTCACCAGTGATAAAGTTGTCCTGGTTAAAACACCTGGCACCAGCTATTACGTGGGCATCAACCATCATCCCATTGACACTCCTAAACCCCAGTACAGCACCCCGTTTCAACAGGAATCAGTAAAAGAAAGAAAATCTTTGCCCTTTTTCCTAATAATCAAAAGACGGGAATGAAAGGATTTTGACCCAGATGGGACATTGTAGCCTGGGTGTGGAACCAAGGGGCTCTATCTTGAGGTCAGCTTTCCCACACCTAGGCAACTTACCTATGGTGCGAAAATGAATACCAATGGGCTACCTGTGCATCACTAATGCCCCTTAGGCACCACCTCAAACCTGAGCTACATGTATAACCCCACACCACATGTCTGGTGGAGAGAATGCCAGACCCCGGAGGGTCATGGGGGTCTATCCCCACGTTCTTAAAATAAAGGTCTTTTTAATTTCATACTTCTTATCTTTTCAGCCACGCCAAAATCCTATCGGATGGTACCCTTCCATGCTAAAAATTCTATCACAAAGTTCTATACCCTGCACAAATATTTTTGTAGAACAAAGTTATATTAGTTTACTCAGGTTGCCATAAAAAACACCCTAAACTGGGTGGCTCAAGCAACAAAAATGTAATCACGTGTACACATCCATTATTGCAGCTCTGAAAGGCTAAGAGAGGAGGATCTCAAATTCATACCAGGCTGGGCAATTAGAAATTTATGGAGGCTCTGTTTCCAAAAAAATAAAGCTGGAGCCATTGCCCATGCCTGTCATCCCAGCATGTGCAAGACTGAGACAAAAACAACATAGTGAGTTCAAGGCCAGGTTGGGCTACATCAGGAGACCTTGTTTCAGAAAATAAGTAAACAATAAATTTAAAAGCTCAGTTAAGACGGTCCTGAATTCAATCCTTAGAACAAAAACTGAGACCTATCTGCAGGGTACTGCTCTTCTAAGATTATAAATGTAAATCTTTTTAACTTTACTTTACTTCTTCAGCTCCAGGGGTAGAAATCTTCCTGCCTTGCTGCTTACAGGGTTCCTCAGTGTTCTCTTTCTGCTCTTTCAGTCACAAACCATTCTCCCCAGGGCACCGCTTTGTTCTGTTGACTCCAGTAGAAAAGACTTCCTGGTGAGTGGGGGAGCTATTATGCTTTCCCTGGAGGTCTGGAGCACAGTGTTCTACAGTGAGTGAACTCCTCCTGCCCACCCCCTGCTCCTTATTTGCTGTTGTATTCCCAGTCTCTAAACTTATTCTGCTGAGAAGTGTGCTTTTGTCTTTCTTCCCGAGGCTGCCCAGCTGTCCACGTCATTCGCAAGTTTGGAGATGCCATGCTTTGGCAGCAGTTGAAACAGCAGCAGGACACTGCTTCGTGAGTTGCTCTGAAGACAGCAAACAGGACTTTGGGGACCTTCTAGAACAAGGGGAGAAAGAAGCAGAGTTGAGAGCTACAGAGCCCTGTTGATGTGGTATCAACATGTGGGTAATGGGAAAGAAATCTATAATTTGAACTCTGTAACTATAAAGACTTACTAAAAAGAAAAAAAATGGATGTGAGGCCCTGGGCTATGACCTTAGGCTTTACCCGCTGTAATTTGAGACAGGCAAGGGACTCAGAATGTCTTAACCACTCTTTTTCTATCAGGCAAAGCTGCAAAGTAGTTTCACAAGGACAGGTGTTTGATACTGAAGGCTGAGAGCTATCCATATATTTTAAAGTGGTTCTTTGCCCCCTCCTTCCACCTGAAGCAGAGGTTTTTGGGTTTGGGGGGGTGGTTTGTTGTTTTTTCCTGTATGTGGGAACTTGGTAGGGTTTCTGAAAATAAAACTCAATAAAAGAGTAGGAGGCACCTTGAAACTGGACCCTGGGGAGTTTTAAACCTTGGGTTTGGCCTCCAGTAATTTATCAGTTAGGATTCAAATGCGTGTGCCTGTGCTGGCTCCAGCAACTTCTGATCCCAACAATCTCTGCATTTGCCTGTCTCCACAATTTTCTAGGTGACTGCTTGCCCTTTGGCCTCAGTTCTCTGAGGGATCTAAGAAAGGCTGCTGGTTTGCAGTTTCCCCAGCTTTCTTGCTGTGAGAATGGGCATGATGGTTTCCAGGCATTTTATGCATCAGAGTTGAAACCAAAAGTCCCCTATTCTGCACTTGTAACAGCACTGATTAACAATGACTTCAGCAACTTCAGTAACTCTTTCTTTCACTCAAAATTATTCATTAACTCATTTAGTAATTTTCCAACTATGTCTGTGAGAGATGTAGGCTTGTAATTTTGCTGTATTTTAATGTTCATTTTAAATTTTAGAATTGAAGCCACAAGGTCTTCCAATGAGTTGAGAAAACCCCCTCTTTTTCTACTCTGAGGAACAATTTCAATTCTTCATGTAAGGTTTTAAATGTTTGGAAGAATAAAAAATGTCTGGAAGATTCAGTGGGGGAAGCCATGTGTGCCTAGCATTTTCTTTGGCAGAAGGTTTTAAAATATGCATTTGATTTATTTAAAAAATATTAGGACTATGTGGGTTTCTCTTTCCCTTTTGTTCACTTAGGTGACATTTTAGAAGCATTTGTCCACTTTACCTACAACTTCAAATGAAGTTATTCATAACATCATCCTATTACATTTCAGTATCTGTAAGATACAGCACAATGTACCTGTTTTTAATACTGGTATTGATTATGCTTGATTAACTGCATCTAAAGTTTAACCATTTGATTGGTGTTTATAAAACACCAACTTATAGCTTGCTCAATTCTTCGTATTTTGTGTTTGTTTTCTCTTTTATTCGTTTTGCTCTTTTTGGTATTATATTATTCCTTTTACTTTATTTGCATTTATTTTCCTTTTTTTAAGGGTGATTTTATCCCAGTAGCTGTGTTGGTGTTTGCTTACTCTGTGTATATGGGGGAAAGATTAAAGAACCAAGGAAAAATACAAAACTCCTTAAAATGAAGCTTTTTGGTAAAATTCTGGTAAAGGCAATTAAGACTCTGCACCCATCCACTGACCTAAGGAAACATTCTGCTGCTTTTTTGCCGTCATGCTAACATGTATGACTGAGCTGTAACCCCATGCCAATGGATTGCTCTTTCTCTTTTCTTCCTTTCTTTATTTTATTCTCCCTGCCTTCCTTCCTGCCCCTGCTTTTTCTTCTTATTCTTCTTTTTTTTCACTTAGGATCTTGGTATCTTGCCCAGACTGCCATCAAACTCCTGGTCTCAAGCAATCCTTCTACCTCAGTCTCCTTAGTAGGTGAGCTACAGGCTCATCTCATGATCCCCTACCCACATTCTACTTCTTGGTTGGTTATTATTTCCTGGTGTGGTGGTGCACCCCTGTAATCTCAGCACTCCAGAATCCTGTCAAGTTTGAGACCAACCTGGGCTACAAAGTGAGCTCAAGGCCAGCCTGACCTCCATAGTGAGACTCTGTCTCAAAAAGATGAAAAACATTGTATATTTTATATTCTATACATTACCTGGCTTCTGGGTGATGATTGTACCTCGCCCTACACATCTAGTTCAAACTTTAGAGCCATTTTCAGTTTCAGATCTGGGAGAACATTTCCTGTGTAACTGGCTTTTAAATCAGTGGCATTTGACACACTCCTGATTCCTAGTGGCTGATACAGTCCTTTGGACCCTAGATTTTTATCCTCCTGTAGGGCGTCTGTGGCGGCATTTACAGGTGAGTGGGTGGTCTCACTCCACTCCATTGCATTAACTCACAAAGAAGCAACAGTCTTGGAGATGAGCTCTGATTAATGGTCTAGGAGAAAATAATGTGAGTCTGGAAGAGGTACTAGAAGAAATAAAACTTACCAGAGGATGAGCTTTAAAAGCAAAAGTTACATAAATAAATAAAGAGCTGGGGCTTAGCTCAGCAGCACAAGTGCCTGCCTGGCAAGCACAGGGTTATGAGTTTAATCCCAGGTAACAAAACCAAGAAACAAACAAGCCAAAAATAAATAAATAAATAAATAAGAAGTAAACTGTTGAGGAGCTGCTGAGCCACTGAGGGTTCTAGAAGTGTTCTTGTACCTCACAGTCCTTGAAGACAGAGCTGGGAAGAGACCTTAGTGTCCAAGAGGACACACAGTGACTCCGCCTTTTCTTCCACCCCTTCATTTGTTCAAGCCCTTGCTGCTTGACATGAGGTGGAAAAATATGATTTGGAGCCAATGCCACATCCTATGGAGAGGAAAGCTGTCCCTTCTGGGGAGGCTGATGGTGCCCAAGGCCAGAGTTCAAGACACAGGGATCCTTTAGTGCTCAGGAACTTGCAGAATCAATGATCAGGATCTCTAACCAGGTATACCAGAGGCTGGGTGTTCTTTATCCAATCAAAGTCTGGATCATACTGCTGAGTGTGGCTCTGAATTATTTCATCATGTAATTGAACATTTCAGATACCACCATTATTGATGCAAAAATGCTATGTTGATGATTTATTATTGATCCTCAGTTTTAAAAAATCCTCTCCCTAGGATCTTGACCACATGCCAAATGTCAAACAAACAACTCCAGGCTTCCAAAAACTCATCTGTCACACAGGACAAGTGGCACAAGATTGTGGTTATGGGGTTACTTACTGCAGTTTGGGTGAGTATTCTTCTTCCTACATATCTCTATCCACACAGAACTAGTTTGTTTCGTCTGGGAAATTCTTTCTTTTCCTGCTTATAATCCAGAAGCAGAAGCATTACATGGCATAAACTCTTGGAAACAGAATGAACATAGAGAACACTGGTTGCACGAAAAATAATACCAAGAATCAAACTGAATCACATCAATTTTAAAAAACTTCTGTACAGCGAGGAAAACCACCACCAGAATGAAGAGACCACCTATAAAATGGAGAAGAAAACTTTGCCAGCTACCCTTCAAACAAAAGACTAATATTTAACATATATAAGGAACTGAGAAACAATTAGAACCCCAAATTTAAAGACCGAATAAAAAATGGGCATCTAACATGAATAGATACTTTTCAGAGGAGATACATGGCCACTAAACATATGAAAAAGTTTCTACTTCACTGGCCATTTGAGAGATGCAAATTAAAACAAGATTGAGATTCTTTCTAACTGCAGAAAAAATGACTATCATCAAGAAATCAGATGAGTAAACATCAAACACTAGAGGGACTGTAGATAAAAAGGAACCTTTCATTATTGGTGGGAATGTAAACTGGTACAAGCACTATGGAAATCAATATGGAGATTCCTCAAAAAATTAAAAATAGAAATTCCATTTTTATTTCTCTTCTAGGTATCTTCCCAAAAGAGTTAAAGACATCATATTACAATGATATGTGCACACTCATATTACAGCAGCAGAATTTAGTAGCCGATATGTCTATCAATACATGAACGGATAAGAAAATGTGGTACTTATACACAATGGAGTACGACTGTGCCATAGGAATGACAAACTTGGATCTTTTGTAGGAAAATGGGTGCACCTTGGGACCATGATGTTAAGTGAAGTAAATAAGACTCACAGTTTAAATATCACTTGGCTTCTCTTATATGAGAAACCTAATATTTAAAAAGTACAAAATAAAGACAGATAAGAGAAAATAGTTATTATAATCCAGCATAGCTGTCTTAGTTTCTTTTCTCATCACTCAGACACAATACCCAACATTCACAAATTAAAGGAAGAAAAATTTGTTTCAGCTCACAGGGATTTTGGTTTGTTTGCTTGGTAGATTTTGTCTTTTTGAGACAGGGTCTTGCTATGCAATTCAGGCTGGTCTCAGACTTATTTTGTAATCCAGGCTGCTCTTGAACTTGCAATGATCCTCCTGCCCCAGCCTCCCCAGTGCTGGGATGACAGGCAAGCACCACCGCGCCCGGCTCAGCTCACAGTTTGTAGAGGTTTCTCTCCATGGTCAGCTTGCTCTAAGGCAGCACAGCAGGCAGGAGAAAAGCAGTTCACGGTGTGGCAGGCAGAAGGGAATAAAGCATAAAAGTAGCAAAGAAACAGCAGCAAGCCTCCCTTTCCCTCCGTCCCATCTAGGCTACTCTTGTGGTCCAAAAACGAGCCCCCAATCCCCCAACCAAAAATGGGGCAGGACATGTTTTTAAAAAGCAATTATGATTTATTTTATCCTGGGCCCAGTGACACAGTGCAGTTGCAGTTTGCAAAAGCTGTGTGTCCCCCTCAAAACTTTTCAGACTTTTTTAGAAAGCACAATTTACGAAGTAAGAGATTATGGGCATGGGTCAGTAAATGAGAAAAATCCTTGATCTGCCAAGGAATGAGGAAGATCTTTGTTTCCCTTTACAGAGGACAGAGAAGTCTCACAGGAATTTACAATCCCTTGTTAACTTATTTTAGCACACAATTTTAGATAACGTCTGTCGTTTGCAGAGGGCAGCAATAGTTAACATACCAATTTGGTCACCCAGAAAAATGGTGCATACAGAAAGTATGACGACACTACAGGTTTGGTCATATAACTTGGGCATAACATAAACATAATGAAGCTCTTTTTGTTAGTGTATAACAGCTACCAGTCTTTTGGGTAGTGTCACCCACACCCAGAGTGGGCCTTCCCATTTTCCACACCAGAACTGTGCTAAACTGTGCCAGATGTGGACTTACCCAGCAGCACACTCCCTACACATTAGACCCAGCCACCTCCAAAAGCCCCATCTAGAAGCACTCAAGGCTTTGGGGGGACATCTAGATACAAACCATAACAATGGCCAATCTAAAAGTGATTTAGTATAATTGTCTCATATTTTATATGCTTTCTGGCCTGTAATTCTGGCTCTTAATCTGTGTTTATGTACCTAACTTTATTTTTTTTTCTTTTATGTGTGTGTGTGTGTGTGTGCGCGCGCGCGCGCGCACGCGCATGCACATGTAAGTGTCTTTGAGACAGGATCTTGCTATGCAGTTCAGTCTGGCCTTGAACTGACTTTGTAGCCAAGGCTGGTCTTGGATTTGCAATGATTCTCCTGCCTCCGCCTCTTGAGTGCTGTGGTCACAGGGACGACCACATCCAGCTTGGTAACTAATTTTATAAAGACATAAATCAATCTGATGCTGGCCAAAAAAACTTTAAAAGATAAAATGGAGGAGGAGGGGAAGGAGAAAAAACAACTGAGATGTGTTGGGTCCATGTACGAATTCTCCACAATGAATGTAGTCATTATTTACTGCAAACATTTACCAATAAAAATTTAAAAAGAAAGAAAATGAGGAGCTGGGGATTTAGCTCAGCGGCATAAGCCTGCCTTGCAAGCGCGTGGTTGTGAGTTCACCCCAGTACCAATAAGAAAGAAAGAAAGAAAGAAAGAAAGAAAGAAAGAAAGAAAGAAAGAAAGAAAGAAAGAAAAGAAGAAAATGAGCAAACCATGTGTGGCATCACATAGCTGTTATCCCAGCACTCTAGATGCTGAGGTAAGAGAATCACAAATTTAAACCTAACCAGGGCAACTTAGCAATTTAGCAAGACCTTGTCTCAAAATAAATTTAAAGTTTTTATTGGGCCTCTGATTGTTTTTGTGTGTATCCAACTCCCTCTTCTAAATCCCGGATTAGATGGTAGGGCAATAGGGTGGGGAAAGGGATTTCCTTTGTAAGGGCTGAGCAAGTGGGAGGCTGGGGATTGGATCACAGCCTAGTCTGCCCTCTGGCGGAAGCAGTCATATATGCAAGTAGTAAGGCAAAACCCACAGACATGATTTTAAACATGGGATGGGGTCTACAGGTGTGTAGGTTGTCTTCTGAGACTCCAAGCTTTGGGTCAAAGACAGCATACTGCACCATGGCCACCAGGCAAAGGACAGCTAAGCTTCATATACTGAAGTCTCTGTCCCAAAAGGAAAATGAAGTGACATACAGAGTTGACAAGCTCTTTTTCTCTATCTACAGATCTTGTACTTCAGGATCTCTTGGACTGAAAGCACCGCCCCTCGGCCCCCAGCTCCCCGTCCTGCAAACAAATCCTCTGGATTTCTCTCCAGGACACTCGCCAACCTGACTCATCTTTTGTATTGGCCTCTGACTCCGGGACATAAAAGGGACATTTTGGCCTCCACCAGTGCCAAGACCTCCACCTACCACATGAGGGGTCCTGCTCAGACCAGTTACACCCTGGGAGGCTACCTAGAGGCTGTCCTTGTGGCCAGGGACCACAAGGGTAGACCCAAGACTCACGGTGGAGATCTGTTTAGGGCACAGCTGCTGGGTCCCTATCTGCATACAGGGGTCCCTGGGGATGTCCGGGACCTGGAGAATGGCACATACCTCCTGTCCTTTCCCCTGCTTTGGGCCGGGACGGCCCAGGCGCAAGTGCGGCTGATCCACTCCAGTGAGGCAGTTGAAGTTCTACGGAGAATCTGGAGAGAAGAAGGGGCCACAGTCGATTTCACAGGCTATTTCCGGGGACCCACAGGATACGAAGAAAACATGACTTGCAATGTGAACCCCTTGTTGTTTGGGGAGAAACAGGATATCTGTTACTACAAGGATGAAGATTCTGGTGAACTCTGGTTCTGTGCCCAGCCCCAGACCCTGTCCTGTGACTCACTGGTTGGACATTCAGCTGGACGATACTGGAAAGTGACCACACCATATGAAGATGCTCTGCTGGCACGGTAAGAATGTCACGTCTACCGAATTGTCATGTGGTTGGTTATTTATTTATTTATTGGAGTACTAGGAATTGAATCGAAGATCTTCACATTGAACTACAACCCTACCTTTTTTTTTGTACTAAGGACTGCAGTCACCACTTCATGCTTGCCAGGCAGGTGTTTGTGCCGCTGAGCTAAATCCCTGGCCCAACCCTAATTTTAAAAAAAAAATATTATTTTGAGATAGAGTATTGCTAAGTTGCTAGGTTGCCCAGGCTGTGATAAAACTTGACTTCTCCTGCCTCAGCCTTCCAGCATGATGGAATTACAGACTTGTTCCACCATGACCAAAAATTTTTCCTTTAATTTCCAGCAAGTGGAGTCTTATACATTAGAGGGCCCAATATGTCACAAAGACACACACAAAAAGCCTTTTATGAGTCACAGTTACCTCTCTTATGCAGGATTCAAAACCACAGTACTCTGAGCAGCATTGCTCAGGCCCTGGGAATACTATTCCACATTTTGCCTTATGTCCTAAAATCAGAAATCCTGAGGCTTGTGTGGTGTAACCCTAGAGAAACATAGACATCCTTTCATATTGTGACAGTGGACTGAGTGGGAAAAGTTTTCAGGCAAAAGAAAGAATAAATTAACTAACTTGTCACTCCTTATTCTCAGATTATTAAATAAAGAGACTCCCTATCAGGAAAGAGAAGGAAAGAAACCTGTTATCATCAGAGATACCTAACCCAACCCCTGACTGTTGTTGTTGTTGTTGTTGTTGTTGTTTTTTTGTCTTTTTCACTTTTATCGGTACCAGGGATCGAACTCATGATTGCCTGCTTTCAAGGCAGACACTTATGCCATTGAGCTAAATCACCAGCCCCAAACCCCTGACTCTTGATCTCCATGAATAATAATAACAATAATAATCATTATTATCATTATTATTATTTTGGTGCTTTTGTAGACAGTGTTTTGTTATGCAATTCAGGCTGATTTTGAACACCCAGGCTGGTCTCAGACTCCTAGAGCTCCTCCTGCCTCAGCCCCCCAAGTGCTGGGATTACAAGTGTGTACCACCACCCCAGCTTCTGTGGTTATTCTGACTGAACTCCTATGCTCATCATTCATCTCTTTGTACGTAGTAAACATTTCTGAGCATGTGTAGCAGGCATTATGTTTTGATCTAAAATGGACCCAGAAGCCTTGTGTATTTGGAAGGAAATTGGATCATGGGGGTTCTGATTCATCCAGTGAGTGCAGTAGCAGAATGGGCTGTTGGCAGATCGGGCCTCATTGGGGTGGGTCACTGGGGATGCGACCTGGAATGGTGCCTTCTCATCCTAGATCCTTCCTTCTCTCCGTCTCAGCTCCCTGGCTGCCATGGGTTGAGCACCTTTTTTCCACTGTGCTCCTTTGCCATCCTTTTTCTGCCTTGGAGTCAGCTGACTGAGAACTGAAACCATAAGCCCAACTGAAGCTCTCCTTCTCTAAGTTGAGGGTGTTGCATATTGTGTCTCATTAACAAGAAAGAGAAACTCTGGTTGTACACAATAGCATCCCTGCTTTCTTCAAGTGTTCATGATGGCTCACGGATGATGCGCAATGTTTGACCATGGTCAGTAGGCAAACATTCGTCTCAATGCAGGAGGCACTGAGCATGCAATGTGGGGGTAACGTCCAGCATCTCTGGAGCTAGATTGCTTGAGTCTGAAGCCTTGCTGCTCTGGTACTGTTTGTCAGTTGCTATTTATATCATCTCTAATTACTCAAGGTTAAGTAAATTAACCTTTCTGCACCTTAGTGTGTTTTCCCCCTTGTTTGTAAAGGGGATGATAACAATACAGATGTTGTAGCCCTTATGGTGGGAAACAAATGAGCTAAGGTATGATAAGTGCTTAGAACCGCAATGGCACACAGCAGGGCTTTGTGAGCTTTTCAGGTTGCCTTTGAGCACCTCCCTACCTGTCCACCTTGCTGGAGCCCCTGAGGTTAGGAGATGGCGCAGAGGCGGCCCAGTTCTGCAGCAGCTAATAGGAAGTAAACAGATAACCACAGGAGTGACGAATGTGCACTGGACATGAATTTATGGTCTGAAAGCCAATTGTTTTCTTGATATCAACTGTTACCCAATTCTGAAGACTTCTATAGTGGCAAAGTAAGAGGCAAAGGGAATGGTCACCTACGGCCCTGCAAAGGAACCCACCTCAATCTCAGGAGTCCTTCCGCAGTCTTGTGTTCACACTGGTCATGTCAAAGTACGCTCTGTCCAAGCCTATGTGGTTAGAGGGCTCTGGGTGGACAGGTAATCTCTGTGGGTCTCTTAAGCTCTCATATGACAAGAGGAAGGGTAGGTAAATAAGAAAAATAATCAGTTACAGAGTATTAAGAGACATGTGACATAGAAAGTTTAAAAATATAAAGGACAAGCCAGGTGTGCTGGTACACATCTATAATTCCAGCGTTCTGAGAGACTCAGGCAGGAGGACTGAAAGTTTGAGCCCAACCTGGGCAACAGTGAAACGCTATCTGAAAACAAATGTGTAAACATTCTGGGCATGGAGCTTAATACAAATGCCCTAGGAGATTAGAGAGAGACTCTGACTCTGGGTGTGAAGGTGCAACCCAACACTGAAAGGCTGAGGCAGCAGGACTGCAAGTTCCTGAGCAAATCAGCCTGAGAAAATCAGTGACTTGTGAGAGTGGGTCTCAAAAATTTAAAAACAATTTTAAAGGGCCAAAGATGTAACACACATAAAGGCCCTGGGTTCAATCCCCAGTACTGGGACAAAAAAAAAAAAAAAAGAAGAAAAATTAGGAACCAGTGTGACTGGGTCAGGTTAAGGAAGAAGAATGGAGATCTGGAAGTTGGAGGTTCCTCAGCAACTAGGCAAGAAATGAGATGCTTTAGACTCAAGATTCCCTAATCCAGATATAGCTAACATGCTCCATTTTTTTATATATTCTAAAGGCAGAAACCACTGAATTACCTGAGAGACAAAATGTGGAATGTGCCAGAGAGAGAGAGAAGGAAGGAAACAAAGAGAGAAGGAAGGAGAGAAAGAGGAAGGAGAGGGAGAGAGAGAGAGATTTAGGACTTACAGATGGTTACATCTGTCTACCTGGAAGGATGGAGTTGTCATCAGCCAAAATGGGGCAAACTATCGGCAAAGCAGGTGGGAGTGGAGACTGGGGGTCTAGGTTTGATCATGTGATTTAGATGTTTGTGCAGAAATGCTGAGCAGACACTCAGATACAAAAATCTGTTTTAGGCAGAGAAGGCCGAACTAGGAAGAAAAATGTGGAGGTCAGGAGGCGCAGTGAAACCACCAAAGGAACAAATGTAACTGTAGAACATGACCGAGGGCTAACTCTATGTGCTCCAAATAAAGAGGAAGAATTATTTAAAACAACAACAGGAGAGTGAAGTGGAAAGTGAGTGGAGTGGGCTTAGTGAAAGTGAGGAGAGTCAGCACTTCTTATTGAAGGCTCCAGGCATCTTTTTTGTATCATGCGCGTGAGTTACTGTTGTTGCTGCTGCTGCTGCTCTTTTTTGAGACTGGGCCTCACTATGAAGTTCAAGCTGGCCTTAAACTCACTGTGTAGCCCAAAGTGGCTTCAAACTCACAGTGATGATCCTCCTGCCTCAGCCTCCCAAGGGCTGGGAATACAGGTATGTGCCACCATGCCCAGCTGTGTTTTCCTTTTCTATATTTCATAATGCTTTGAAATTGTGGGGCCTTATAGACGTGGGAGAAATGGCCTCTCCCAATTTAGTGAACTCCTTGGAGCATGTCTCTGCCACACCACCCAATTCTGAGTCTATACTATTCACACTTGCCTTTATCAGGTTCTTGGCTCTGCACATCTCTCTGCCTTAAATGCCATTGGATGCCCAGTGACTCAAGGACACCACTTATAGCCCAGAGCCCGTTAAAAGTATTCAAACTAGCCAGTCTTAGACCTTCACAGCTGTTTCCTCTGTTTCCTCTTTGAGAGGACTACAATAAGGACTTTGCCCATGCTTTTTCTTCTGATCCTCTGTCCCTAGTGCTTCCCTCTGTTGCCTTGTTTGGCATGCAGTGTCCTTTCCTCTTGGGAACTACAAGTCACAACTGTCTTTTTGATAAGAATTATCTTCTGTTCTGTTGGCTTTGCCTCACCTGCATAAAACCTAAGCCTTGCTATGCAGTGAAGGGTGGCCTTGAACCATTATGTAGCCCAGGCTGGCCTCAAATTCATGACAGTCCCCTTTCTTTAGCCTCCTGAGTGCTGGAATTGCAGGTGTGTGCCAACACACTTGCCTTCTTGGATATGTTTTAAACAATTCTGCATTGTGCACTCATGAGGGAAATAAATCCTGGAACATTAAGTAGCTTCCCAACTCATCTTCTGCCTCCAAGCCTGTCTTCAACGTTTCTGTAGATGGGAAAGTAGCCTTTGAATTTGAGAACCTCCTTTCTTCCAAAGACCCCTATTGCCTCAATCTGAGTTCTGCTCACACACTTCTGGTTGGTTTCTCTTTAGGAACCTGACAGACCAGGTCCTCCCGCAGGGTATTGGCCCAGTCCATGTATCCAAGAAAAGGAACAGGAAACTGGGTAAGTGGCACTGGGACTTGAAGAAAGGGCAGTACTCATTTCATGACTAAACAGTCTCTTGTACCCAGTGATTGCTCTGTTGCAGTTCTGCCTCCTGAACAGCCGTGCTACCCTGGGATCCCAGCCCCAAAGCCCTCTGGCTTCTACCATGGAAATGTCTGGTACTCGCTGGCCTGCTCCAGCCGCTCCTTCCCCACAGCAGAGAGCATCGTGGGCTGCCTGGCTGGCCACATCGTCCACATGATGGGGGACTCCACGCTTCGGCAGTGGTGGGAGTATCTGCGTGATACCGTGCCCTGTGAGTACTGCGAGTATTCCAGTCCCCCACCAGAACAACTCAGAGAGGAAGAGGAGAGCGAGGGCTGAAAGAAGGCAGAAAATTACATCCATGGGGCAGAATTGGCTTTCATGAGAGTGACAGGATTTGGGGCAGGGAGAGGCTGGGAAACATGGTGCTCAGAGTCCTCATCATCTCAGCCATGAAGTTTCAGATTAGGGAGCTCGTAATGATGAGACGGCAGGTGTGTATACAGCTGTGGCTGGAAAGGAGGATTTTTTGGGAGGCTACTGGAGAGATGGAGTTGGAATTTAAGGGAAAATGCAGAGAAATCAAGCTTTGGAGGTTAATGTTTAAGGTAGCATTTTCATGTTTTGAGGCAGATTGCAAAGAAAGAGAAAGGACAATGGTAAAGTGAGGCTACACTGGTAAAGAAATAGTGTCCAGAGTGAAGGAAGATGCTGGAGAAAGCAATGGTGACTGCTGACTGATTGGTTTGCAGTGAAAGGAGGTGACTGAGTGACGCTGCACAACCATAAAGTGGGCTCAGAATGGTGTCACTGGGGTACTGGGATGGCAGCATGGGCAAAGGAGTACATGAAGACAGTCTATCTACTTCACACACCCTCCCGCCGGGTTCAAGAGGTGGGAGCGGGATTCTCAGTGAACCAGTGGAGGAGGTATTTGAAGACATGGGACTGAAGCTGAAATGAGATGGTTGAGCTTCAGACAGAATTTTGATACTTATTCCTTTGGGAACAAAAGATAAAGTAGCAAGAGTGTCCTACAAACTGAGTTTCTACCTCTCATAAACCAGAGTTTAGAGCAAATCCCACAATATGACATAGCATGGATTAAGGCAGAAGTCTTATCGGTAAAAGAGCTAACCTGAGAGCTGAGGATGAGAAAGACAAGAAAGGAAACGAGCACTCAACTCCCTTCTCTGTCCTCCCATCACCCGACAGAAAGAGCAGTGTATGGGCCCCACAGGGTAAGTCTATTCTCATACAGGGGAAACTTTTCTCCTGCACTACCACACTGCTTGTCCTGTTCCTTTTTTGAGACAGCATCTCACTACACAGTTCAGGCTGGTCTTGAACTGGTTTTGTAGCCCACATTGGCCTCACATTTACCGCAATCCTTCTGCCTCAGCCTCCTGAGTGCTGGGAGTACACTGGGCTTCTCCATTCCTACCTACAAGTGTGAAAACAGCCTGTCAGGGGGTTTCCCAGTACAAAACAGTCTAGAGGTGGCCTTCTGTGTTTACAGGAGTTTTCCCGAAACCAGCTGCCCCATTTTGGGCCATTGAGTTGTTGTCTACTTTCTTTCCATGGGACTAAAGCCTCCATCCTCCCAATGTGGATGCAGCTCCTCTTTCTGGTAGGAAGGGAAGACTCTGGTATTTCAATATTGAAGCAATGCCAAGCAGGCTAGTAGACAGCACATGTTTGTAATCCCAGCACTGGGAGACTGAGGCAGGAGTATCGCTGCAAGGTTGAGACCAGCCTGAGCTACATACTGAGTTCAAGACTACTCTAGACCACATAGTGATGCCGTGTCTCATAAACAAACAATGAAAAAAAAAATGAGTAACCTGGTAGAATCACTTTGGAACAATTCTTCTCATGGACTGGATTAGTTTCCCAAGAAAGAGATGTTTCTAAAGATAAACAGAAGCCCAAAACAGTAGGTTGGCAAAACCAGAGCCTCTCTGCATGATATGGAGCCTTGCTGTGAATCAAAAACATTCCTCTTGGGGCCAACATGATCTTGTAACACGTGGGAGGACATGCATGCAGCAACTCTGTGCAAAGAGGGGGCCTCATCTAGTGTGGGAGAGAACAGGCTGGATCTCAGGTGCCACTAGTGTCCTAACCTGGCCACCATGGCACAAGAACATAAACTTGATGATGAGTTTCTAGCTTGGATGTATCCCATCCAGTGGGTGACTGAAGGAAGCCAATGGGTGAACCTGAGTTGGATGGCTCAGTCAGCAGACTGCAAAGAGTAACAACTAAGAAACCAGAGTTTCTACAGGACAATCAATGAGATAAAATGCTAGCGGCTGGGAGGCTGAGGACCAAGAAAAAGCCTTCTAAGTGGGGATCCAGGAGGTCATGGACAATATCCTACATTAGGGAGAGGATCTGCTGTCCACAGTATATTCATATGCTAACAAAGAGATGCTAGAGCATTTGTATTTTTAATTGAGGACATATTACCTAATATTAACTCCTGATCCCCACTCTCATCTCCCAACAGCCCTGAAGCCCGTGGATCTCCATGCCACATATCAGTCAGGGCCCCTGATGGCCGTGGACACGACAATGGGCATAGTGCTGCACTGGCGGGCCCACAGCTGGCCCCTGCGCACTCTCCGCACACCAGTGGCCTCCCTACACTCAGTGGTCAGGGAGCTGACAGGCCTGGCGGGGGGTCCCCACACCGTGGTTGTGCTGGGCTTGGGAGCCCACTTCACCACCTTTCCCCCCTCCGTATTTGTGCGACGCTTGGCAGGGATTCGGGCAGCTGTGATGGCCCTGCTGGCCCGGGCACCCAGTACTCTTGTGGTTATCAAACTGGCCAATACTGGCTACAAGTCTGTGTATGGCAGTGACTGGCTCACCCTACATGTGAACCGGCTCCTTCGAGCTGCCTTTTCTGATCTCCGTGTGGCGTTTGTGGATGCCTGGGAAATGACCTCCAGCTTGGCCCTACCAGACAACATCCACCCAGTGAAGCTCATTGTCAGCAATGAGGTGGACCTACTCCTCTCCTTCATCTGTCCCACCTGAGTATTCCTGAGGCTCATAAGGCTGGGCTGGCAGTGGGCCTAAAGCCTGAAAAAGAACTGGGAGAATTATACTCATAATAAACCCTTCTGAGATAAAGACAGGTGTCATCAACTTCTCCCACTGGGAGGCTATAATCTTCCTCACTAGTCCAGCTGATTTTCTTCTTGCCTCACACCAATCCCTTTCCCACTCTGAGCCAAAAGTGATTATTTGAGAAGCAAATAAGATCATGGTATTATTCCCAGCTTGAAAGCCAAGGGCTCCTATCTTAATATAAATCCAAATTCATGCCATGGTCCCTAAGATCCTATATGATGGCCCCCCCTTAACTTGACCCTCATTTCTTACCCTTCTGTGACTCTTTGTAGTTCAACTGACATCTTCTTGCTGTTTAAGAGTCCCGTCCTACCTCAGGGGCTCATGTCTGCTGTCCCTAAGCTGCTGCGCCTGTCTTTCAGATTCTCCTATGACCACCTTTCTTTTCTTTCAAAAAAAGGTAGAGGCAGGTAGAGGCCTCCCGGAAGACAGAAATCGTGTCTTTCTATGGAGTTTCTAGGGTCTTTCCATGCAGTTTAGTCTGGCCTTGCACTCACTTTATAGCCCAGGCTGGTCTCGAACTTGCAAGGATCCTCCTGCCTCAGCCTCCCAAATGCTGGGATTATAGGCGTGAGCCACCATGCCTGGCCCTTTCTTTCAATTTTTTAAACACCTCAGAGTCCTTTCCTATCCACCCAAATGTAAAGAGCTCCCTATCTCCTCCTCACTGTGTTCCACATCACTATGTAGAATCCATAATTATTTCATAGCTACTATTTATTATTATTGCTTCCTTGACAGGAAGCTTGTCAAGCTTACTTGTATTCCACAACCTACAGTACTGCTGGAGACATTGCAGATATCAAATAAATTATCCACTGAATGAACAAAAAGTGAATGAATGAATCAACTACGGGGGAGGTTACTGCTGTGCCCTGCACCTTCTCTCAGGAACCTGCACCCTGTGAGAAATAGGCAATTGGTTTGTGACTGATTACCATATTTGCATAATTATCATTATTAACGTTTTAATTTATATTAAAGCAGTTTCCATTTTTATTTTGGAAGACCTTCACAAGAACTTTTTTTCATTTTAATGAAGCCTGCAAAGGATTCAGAGACCTGAGCCAATCCTTCACACCAAATTGGTTGCAGAGACAGGCAGTGATATTGGTGATGGCAGTATCATTGTGAGTGACTAGTAAAACTGCTTTCTGGAATGCAGGAAGTGAGCAGCCATCCTTGCCTGCCCTGATTTGGGCTGACTAGGTCCTTGTATTCTGAATGTTCTCCTTGGAGGGATTTGCTTCACTGACAAAAGTCCAGTCCATCTTAAGACTCATTCTTGCACGATCATTTCCTTATCTCCAACCACTGGCTCCCGTGTGCTGTTCACACAACTATTTGTTTCTGGCTGAAAGGCTTCCCTGATCACCCGAAAAGGGGCTCCATGACCAGGCACAACCACATTGGCGGTGCCTAAGATCCTCCTTCGGCTCCGCTCCTGCGCCACCGGGTCTTCGCTCAATGCCTGCCAGGAGTCCTCGTCTCCATCGCGCTCAAACACATCACCCGCCACCACCACAGTGCCCAGGGCAGTGCTTGCCACCACCACGCTGACGTCCCGCTGGCCCCCGTGGCCTGGTGTGGCCCACACTTCAAGTCCGGGACCCAGGCGCAGGGGCCGCTCCTCACTTAACCCGTGTGGCAGGTAGAGGCCTCCCGGAAGACAGAAATCGTGCGAGACCAGCAGAGCTGCCCCTGGGAACAGCCCCAGATTTCCAATATGATCCGAGTGCCCGTGGGTCCCGACCACTAGAGTCACGTCTCCCGGGGACAAGCCCTGCCCTGCCAGGGCCCCCAGTAGCACCTCCCGAGTCCAGGGTCCCCCAGTATCCACGAGAATGGGGCCACGCGCCGCCTTCTCCAGGGCTGTCTCTGCCTCGCCGCCCGCGGATAGAGACTCTCGATGGCTGGACTCCGGGTCCCAAGCCTGGGGCAGGACCAGGGTGACTGAGCCGTCAGCGCGCACGGCGTCGCCCACACCCACAGTCTCCGGCTCGGAGTAGCCCTGCAGCAGAACCACCACGGAGTACGGGTCGCCGGGCATCAGCAAAGGCGCCCCGCTCAGAGGTTCGGTCCGCACTAAGCGGCTCACGGCAGTGAAGGACGGGCTGGGGAGACAGAAAATGGGACTGAGGGCGAACTCCGAGCTCCACAAGCCTTAGTCCCCCACTACCCAAAAGTCGCCTTCCATCGTAACTTTGCCACCCCTTTTGCTCTTACCGTGGTACTGTATAGCCCTCACCCCCCTGCGGAAGATGGTACAGCCCAACCCTCCTGTAAACCGGATCCTGCTCTCTCGGCGTTTTCGGCTCCCACCCTTCTGGTCTCTTGGTAAACCCTCAGTAGTTATCCTCCGAAGGATATCTATTTTCTTTGCTTACCACTGACCTACTCATAACGCCTCACTTAAGTCTTCCTGATTGAGGAACTCCCGGAAGTTGGACAGGCGCAGGGAATTTTGACCTCTGCGAGGGCCCGTAAACCCAAGGATGGCGGCCGAAGTGGCGCCACGTATGTAACTAATTCCCGCGCACCATAAAATTTGAACCTTCACCTGCCGCTTAAACAAGTCCTCTCTACAATTCTCCGCGCCGCTATCCTTACAGGTTCCTTGGGCTGCAAAACTACCGAGCACATTAGCTACTGGAGAGCGGCATCCAACAGCACTGCTGTCTGGGCACTGCCTCATCAAACAGCTTTAATGTGTATACAGACTTGAAACTGGGCTCAGTTGATACTTTCTTTAAAAAAGTTTAATAGCTATATATAAAACTTGGCACCTGTGAGATTAATATGAAGTAGACGAGTGTCTAAATCAGTACAGCCTCACCCCCACGCAGTGTCCTATTCTTGTTCCCAGCTTGCTGGTATGCAGCCTCCTGGACACAGGTAGGGTACAACATATAGGTCACAGAGAATGTTTCTGTCGTGTTTCCTGTAAGTATCTAAAACCAGATCTTTTGAAAAGCAAAGTGACTTTCCCAAGACCCACAGTTCCATTGGATCGCTGACCTCTGGGGAGCAGTAGAGATATTTACAAGGAAAAGCTTCAAGGTTGTCACCACACACAAACCTGCCAGCTAAGGGGCTGGAATGACAGGCATAGGGTTCATCTGTAGAGGAAGGACTTCCACCTGCTGCACCTACTTTTCTCCCCATAGTTATGCCATCCTTCGTCCTCAAGATCCTGCCTGATACCAGATGGCAAGGAATAGTTAGAAGCACTGAGGTGGGGTCACTTGTACACTAATACACTCTTAAACTGTGGGGCAGGGACAGCTCAGACGACAGGGTTTTTGATAACTCGCTGGGGGTTCAAAGGCAAGGGTCAAAGATCCTCTGGGTCATGCTTGGAGTGTCTTTCTGTCTTTGTCATTTCTTCTACCTCTTCTTCCCCTTCCTTTTCTTTTTCTTCTTCCTCTTCTTTCTCTTGCCCATCTGTGATTTTCTCTTTTCCAGTCCAAGTTTCCTGTAGACATGCTAGGTGGGGTGAGAGAAAATAACTTAAATTTTGGTTCTGGGGATAGGGAATACTGCATCCTAGCCCTAGAGGAGCCCAACCCCACACTTACCAGTTTCAGTAGCTGGGAGAACATGACCTTCACAGAGAAAATGCTGTAGGGGCTGCTCCTGATGGTGGAAGTACCAGTCTCCCACGACATCTTCATACTCCTCTAGCATTGTCTCACACTCGTCAAGTGGAAGAGTGGGATTAGTATCTGGTCTGCTGAACTTTGTAAACTCTGCTCTCTGTTCTCCACTTGCTGTCCTCCCTCCTTCAGCTGACTCATTTTGGAGAGGCAAGTAGCCGGACTAAGCTTGGCTCGGCAGATGTGTGATCTTCATTCAACAAACATTTATTAGCTCCTATTCTGCTAAGTAGGTTATTAAATTCTGAGTCCAGCTCCCTTTCCTGTAAAATAGTCCTGTAGTCAGTCATACCTACCACATCAGATTGTTTCACGAGTAAAATGAAGCAGCAGCTGGAAAGTGTGTTACAATCAGGGACATACAGTAGATGCTCAAAAAGCAATGGTATTAGCCTCTGATTCTTCTATCTTTCTTTTTTCTTAAGTACTGGGGATTGAAGTCCAGGGCCTTCACAGTGAGCTACACCTGCAGCCCTTTTTTATTTTTTGTTTTGAGACAGAATCTTAGTTGCTAAATTGTTTAGGCTGGACTCAATTGTAATCTTTCTGCCATAGCGTCCCAAATTTTGGGATTAAGAGGTGTACATCACCATGCTTGGCTCCAATATTACTTCTTAATATGCTCTTGCTCACATTTTAATGGATGGCATAGTCCTCACTCTGCCCCCTTCTCCCTGCTCAGAGGTGGACATCCCTTACAATCAAATCCTAGGACCTAGCTCCCACCTCAGATTTCCTTCTCACTTTCCTAGACACTGTGGTATCTTATCCTACCTGCTTCTTGAGGAATGTGACTTCCGCGCTGGGCTCATCCCACAGCTCCAAAGGGATCCCCAGATCCACTTTCACTCCCTTCTGCACTAGGCCTTTCAGCACTGTCATGGTCTGACTCTGGCCCTGAAAGACACAGAATATAGAATCTGCCCAGCGCAGTATGACGTCTTTCTTCCATTTTCCCACACATCAGTTTTGTTGACTACTGAAGTCTCAGGAGTGAGTTCAATGAGGGTGAGATGCAGGAGCCTAAACTAAGGAGAGGACACTTCAGAGCTGGGGGGAGATGGCATACAACCCCTGAGAGCCTCAAGGGATATAGGTCTTTGTTTCTGAGAATCAGGTCCTGCCCTGGGAAAAGAGCTGACCTTGGCATATCTCAGTGACCCCTTGCGCTCAGCATGGATACTGTAATCCAGGATACGTTCACATAAATTTTCCAGGGCCTCTTCTAGTCTTGTCTCTCTGTGGGAAAAGGAGAACAAAGACTTCCTGGATCCTGCAAGGACTCTCAGAACAACTTTGGGGGCCGGAAGGTAGAGGGACACTTACGAAACACTATAAGGCACATGTTTCTTCCTCTTGCCTGTGTCCAGCACCTGCCCCAGCTCCAATACCTCTCGAGATCGGCCAGTGAGACTCAGCTTCTCCTGTAGCTCCATGCTCAGTAGCTTACACACTGATAGGAGAGATGTCCAAGGGAATGTAAAAGACCAGTGAATATATCAGCAGATCTGCAGCTGACCAAAGGCAGCAGAGTATGCTGGGTTGGAATCCAACTCAGCCTCTCAGTAACTAATAATCTTGATGTGCCTCAGTTTCTTCACCTCTAAAATGAGGATAATACTATGACCCTTATAAAGGTATAATAAGTATAAAAATTAAGATATAAGTGCTTGCTGTTATGCTGAAATTATTTATTGAGCCCCTTCTGTACACATGGCATACAGAACAGAATAGAGAACAGTAAGACCCACAATCTTGGCAGGGTATAGTGGCACATACCTATAATCCCAGCACTTGAAAGGCTAAGGCAGCAGGATCATCCATGAGTTGGAGGCCCACTTGGGCTACATCAGAAGACCCTGTCTCAACTACTCCTCCCCCAAAAAAGATCCATGATCTTTGTCCCTGGCAATGATGCCTATGTAATCAGATAGATAAACAGGTAATAATATAGTGTGATGGACCCTACACTGGGGGCTAAAACCAAGAAGCTTGATCTGAATAGGAAATGCAAAATTCATTCAAAGATTACTTATTGTCCTCCTACTAGCCTTTGATTTCCGTAAGCATGAAAGAACATCCCATCATTACTCTTTTCATCACATAGCATGTGACCTGGCACTTGGTGGGTACCAAGAAAAGAAATGGCTGATACTGAAGTGACAAGTATGGGGGCAGGGGTTTAGCTTAGTAGCGTAAGCGCCTGCCCTGGCAAACACGAGGTCATGAGTTCCATCCCTGGTACCAAAATAAAGTGACAAGTAAACCAAACAAAAGTACACGTAACCGAAGTGCTTATATGTGCTTGGTCTTGTGCTAAGACCTGAGATCCACAGGTACTCTCTTTCTTTCAGGGGCTTTCAGCATAGCAGGAGGTGACAAAGAAGGCTTCTAGATGAGGTGATATTTAAACTGGGTGTTGAGAAATGGTTATTACGGGGTTTTTTTAGACAACAGGAAAAACAGCAAAGGCAGAGTCGCAACAGAAAAAAAGATGCTCAGTGACCAGGAGACGTTCAGGTTCAGAGTTATCTGAAGCATGGGCACCTTTAGGATGGGAACAGAATATGAAAATGTAAGTGCGGGACTGTAATACGGAGATTTATGTGCACTCTGATCACAGTAGAAGCTCACGTAGGTATTAAAGCAGAAAATGCTAAGATTCCATCTGAGTTTGGAAAGACTGACAGGAGGAAGAAGAATGGTGATGCAGAGGTAGAAGAAGATGAGAAATTAGAATCAAGTTAGGAACACGGATACTGAAATCCTGTGGCATGTGGGGCGAAGATTAAAAGAATCTCAGTAAGAAAATAAAGTCAGGGAGGCAACAAACTAGAGAACCAGGACACTCAATGATCGGGCTCTGAAGGGTTCCTTCCCAGCAGTGTCCCACCCTACGGCAGCTAAGATGCTGCTTGGAGTAAAATCCTTACAGGATACACACTCTGCAAAGTCTCACACTCATGTGAAACTTAGTTGTGTATCCTCCCATCCGATGTTTATGAGTTTCAAGGCCTTACTCATCCACAAACTCCCTCAGGGTAGGGAAGGGTCTGTAATTTGGCAGCGTATCTGCCAGGGCAGGGCAGAGAATGCCTACAAGACAAAAGCCTGACACCTTGCTCCTGCAAGCTCTCCAGATTTAGATCTGGTTGATGACAAGTAGGAAATATCACATACCGATGCTCTCTGCAGATTCCGGCGGTCCAGGGCAGGTAGCCTCCGAACTACAATTCTTACACCGCACTGGGACCCCAGCTTCCAAGAAAAAGCAGACTCCCTCGACCAGGCTCAGGGAAAACTTAATGCCACAGTTTTGGGGTGGCAGTATGCATACCTCCCTTGATCCCATTCCAATTCTGTCAAGTTCCACTAGAGTCTTTTTTTTTTTTTTTTTTTTTTTTTTTTGTCTTTTTCTTTTTTATCGGTACCAGGGATCAAACTCACGACTGCCTGCTTGCAAGGCAGGCGCTTATGCCGCTGAGCTAAATCCTCAGCTCCCAGTTCTACTAGAATCTTACTCAGGACGTCAAAGAGGTCGAGTAACCCACCCATCATAGTTCACCTGGTCTGGCCTAAACGAAGTAAGTAGGGTAGAGAGATGGTAATAGGGACTGCTCCCTTTTGATACCTTCGCATCTGCTGGGCAAGCGTTCTGTGTCATCGTCTTCCTCTCGCGACGTTCCAGCCCAAGCACTATACACTGCCATCACAAGTAACAATATGCCTAACCGTACAGGTCCCATGACAGAGCGACGTCCACAAACGAACACTTTGACTTCAAACTAACTTCGGGAAGGCAGCGGGCCCTTTAAATCCGGAGGCGGACGGCAACAACGTTAAATCCCCGCAGGCCTGGTCGGCGCATGCGCAGAACCAGCCCAAAAGGGGTGGGATCTTAAGAGTAGTAAGGTTCCCGGCTTCTGTTTTGTGGCGCCTCCTGAAGGTCCTGGCCGGTGTGTGGTGAAGTATTAAATCGAAGTAATTAAAATAAGAACGTGTACTTCTCACATGTATTTATAAAAACACATTTTTATATGATTTCAGGCTGTGAGCGTCTATAATTTATTGTGATTTGAGGAAAGGGCGGCGGTGACTTGCTCTCAATCTCTGCCAGGACCTGCGACCGAGGGGAGGGGGCGGGGCCAAGATGGCGCCGAGCGCCGGGTGAGCGGCGCTTTGGCAGCGGTGAGAGACTTACTGCCCCCGGCGCTGAGCTTGCGGGGGCGGGTCTGGAGGCTACAGGGGAGGAGAAGACCCCTTGAGGGGCCCTTGTGGGGACTGGGAAGAGGGCTATTGGTTGTGTGTCTGTGCTCGTGGAAACTCCGTGTGTGTATGCATTGCAAGGATGTCGGGGGAGATGGGGTGGGTTCTCTGAGCTTCCTTTGGCGCTGCCTGGGGATCTTCGACTATGTTCTTTCCTGGGAAACTACTGCAGAGTCTAGCTCAAGTTCGCTCTGCTCAGAGAAGTCCTTCTGCTGTCTCCACTGATCTGAGACTTTCCTGGATCTGTAGGGTGTTTCATGAGCCTTTACTGCCAGAGGGTGCCGAGGGTATTGACAGATTAGTAGTTGACCAAAGAACCAGGACACGATTGCTTCTTGTACACCTGGCACAGAGTATGCATTGAGTAATTTTGTCCCTTCAAAGTAAGATTTATAAAAGTCTATGAGGAGATCCGGGATGGTTTGAAAAGTACCAAATTCTCCTTTGGCACTCAGTTCTGAACACTTGAGGTTAATCTTCCTAATCTCAGCTCCCAATTCCTTTTGACTTAATGTAAACGTAGGCTCTGGCCTGTCTTACTCATCTAGATAATCGTGACACCTAGTATTAACTGAGCGTATACATCTTTAAGCCTTGCAATTCATTCATTTGTTCAACAAGTGTTTATTATTGCTAGTGTTTCAGGCAGTAGTCTGGACACCCAGAATACATTCACTAACATAATAAAGATCCCTGTCCATATCGTAGGCGAGGTTGATAATTAGGAATGGTATAATGTATTAGAAGCTGTTAAATGCTATGGAAAAGAAAAAGAATGGAATGAGGGCAGAGTAAGGAATTAAAATAGCATGGTCAGGTTCAAATGAGAAGAGAAAGAAGAGAGGCAGGAGGAGGAAAGAAAAGACGAGAAAGAAAATGGAAACAAAGCTTTTGTAAATAAGGGAAGAGGGGTTGAAGGGATGGGAGGGAAATGGGAAAAAAGAAGCAAGATATATACATGTGCAAATTCCCTATGATGATATAATATGTATATCTAAAATATACCAACAAAATACAAATTTAAAAAAATAGCATGGTCAGAGAAGGCAGCCAAGCAGACACCTAGAAGGACACAAAGCAAAAGCTAAAGCATGTCTGGCAGATTTAAAAAATAATAAGGGGGATGATAGGATTGGATAAAATAGAAGAAGGAAAGACATGATCAGAGATACAATGGGAAAAAGGCAAATCTTGACATCACAGGTCATTATTACGGTTCTTATGGTAAATGGGGAACTGTTACAGCAGAGAAATGACAGTCTGGTATACATTTTGACAGTTATTTTGACTGCTAGAAAAGGATAGATGTAAGGAGACTGAGGTGGGAGCAGAGCTTGTCCAGAGGCTATTGGAGTTCTGCAGGAGTTGGATGGTGCTCTGGGCTAACAAGTGGGAGTGGAGGAATCAGGGTCGATTTAATGTGAGGGAGGACCCAGATAAAGAGACAGTGAACACTGCATTGCTATGAAAATGAGGGAACCAAGTCTTGAACAGGAAGGTAAGGGGAGATCAGGAATTTAATTTAGTAGAGTTTTTTTGGTTTTCTTTTTGTACTGAATCAAACTCAGAACCTTGCACTTGCCAGGCAGGTGCTGTGCCACTGAGCCATATCCCCCAGCCCTTAGTAGAGATTTTGAGTTGTGTTTCTTTTTATGTCTTTGGTCTGCTTCATCTCCCTGCCAAGGGCTTCATCACTTTACCTGGGGGTCGCACCCTTCCAGGGAGGAGAGGAGGTACTCCAGCATGGCTGAAGAGAAGAAACTAAAGCTCAGCAATACTGTGCTGCCCTCTGAGTCCATGAAGGTTGTGGCTGAATCAATGGGCATTGCACAGATTCAGGAGGAAACCTGCCAGCTGCTGACAGATGAAGTCAGCTATCGAATCAAAGAAATTGCACAGGTACCCAGGCCCTGCTGCCCAGCCCTGCTTTGTGTCAAGGATATTACCCCTTCTTCCCCCTGTCTTAGACTGATGACCAATGTCTTTTCTCCTGTCTCCCTGACTCCAGGATGCTCTCAAGTTCATGCACATGGGGAAGCGGCAGAAGCTCACCACCAGTGATATTGACTATGCCCTAAAATTGAAGAATGTTGAGGTAATTGGGAGAGAAAGGAAGGAAGCAGGAGGACCAAGATGTGAGCAGGGCGATGAGAAGCCATCCTCCCAGATGCTGCACTTGCCTTTTGCCAGGCTCATTTCTCACACCTGCATCTCTCTTTCCCTCCTGATACAGCCACTCTATGGCTTCCATGCTCAGGAATTTATTCCTTTCCGTTTTGCATCTGGTGGGGGCCGAGAGCTCTACTTCTATGAGGAGAAGGAGGTTGATCTCAGTGACATCATCAACACCCCTCTGCCTCGGGTACCTCTGGATGTTTGCCTCAAAGGTTAGTAGAGGGGCAGGCAGAGTGCTAAGGAGGAGTGAGATGTGTTGTTGTGAGGAGCTGCACAAGTGAAGAAGCTCAGTGTGGGCTCCTGGTGAATGGCAAGAATGGGAGCAGGAACCAGAACACATCTACCTTAGTGTGGAGTGACTTCCTAGTGTCCATGTCCAGCAACTCAACATAATAGCTTCCTTTCTCACAGCTCACTGGCTGAGCATCGAAGGCTGTCAGCCAGCTATACCAGAGAATCCACCACCAGGTAAACTTTTCCATGCCTAGTGCCCTCTCCCTTCTCTCCTTGTACTCCTGCCTTGTTCCCTAGTTTCTTTACATCTCTCCTCACTCATCACTCCTGCTATGACTGGTTTCCCACCAGCTCCCAAAGAGCAGCAGAAGGCTGAGGCCACAGAACCCCTGAAGTCAGCAAAGCCAGGCCAGGAGGAAGATGGACCTCTGAAAGGCAAAGGTCAAGGGGCCACCCCAGCTGATGGCAAAGGTCAGTTCTCTAGGTCAGGGCTCTCCCAACTCGTATCCCAGATCAGATGGGTCATTTGTGAATTGGCTGAGACCAGGGCTAGAGAGTCCCAAAGGGCTTAAGAAACCTAAAGGAAGCCACAGTGGGGGAGGTGGCACATTCAGGTTTGTCTGGTACTGAGGCCCCTTCTGGATCCTTCTATTTTCAGAGCCATCACTCAGTTCACATCTCTCAATTCACACAGGGAAAGAGAAGAAGGCACCACCTTTGCTGGAGGGGGCTTCTTTGCGCCTGAAGCCTCGCAGCATCCATGAGCTCTCTGTGGAGCAGCAGCTGTACTACAAGGAGATCACCGAAGCCTGTGTGGGGTCCTGTGAGGCCAAGAGAGCGGTTAGGACCCCACCCGCCTGTCCTCAACCTAAGATTTCTTTTGCATCCCTAGCAGATTGCTCCCCACGATAGCTGCCCCCTCCCCACTTACTTCCCTCCTCCCATAGGAAGCTCTGCAGAGCATTGCCACAGACCCAGGGCTCTATCAGATGCTGCCACGGTTCAGCACCTTCATCTCTGAGGGGGTAAGCAGACTGAGAAAGCCAGCCCCAGGATAAGGTTGGGGGAGGGGTAGCAGGGAAGTTGATCTTAGGAGTCTTTGCCTCTTGCTCCCTCTTCTTATAGGTCCGTGTCAACGTGGTTCAGAATAACCTGGCCCTGCTCATCTATCTGATGCGTATGGTGAAGGCACTGATGGATAACCCTACATTATATCTAGAAAAATATGTGAGTACCTCCTACCCTCCCTCTTCGCTACCACCCACAGGAAACCATTTGTCAGGACCCACCAACTCACTACTTCTCTATAGGTGCATGAGCTGATTCCAGCAGTGATGACCTGCATTGTGAGCAGACAGTTGTGCCTGCGACCTGATGTGGACAATCACTGGGCACTCCGGGATTTTGCTGCCCGCCTTGTGGCCCAGATCTGCAAGCATTTCAGCACAACAACTAACAACATCCAGTCCCGGATCACGAAGACCTTCACTAAGGTGAGCCCCAGCAACCTGTCTCACATCACCGACAGGGTTGTCACCAGGATTACAAGTGCTTCACCCAAACCAGTGGTGGGGCAGTTGTGCCTTGGGAAATGACACCTGGAACAACAGGCTGGGGAACTAGAACTAGCAGGAGGTTGGTCTAAGGGGCTTCAGCCTCATCTGCAACATCCTCATAAAGTTTCTTTCTAGAAGACCTGGGTTCATAACCTGAAGACTCACTCATCTGGGTTTTCATTTCTTCCTCTGCAGAGCTGGGTAGATGAGAAGACTCCCTGGACGACTCGTTACGGCTCCATTGCAGGCCTGGCAGAGCTGGGACATGATGTTAGGCCCCTGGAGGGGGAACAGCTGGGCGAGGGGAGGCAGTCTTGAGGTTAGAGGGCAATGCCATCCACCTGAGAAACCCCAGAGGCACCGAGGACCTGGCTTCTCTCCTTTCCAACAGGTGATTAAGACTCTGATTCTGCCACGGCTGCAGCAGGAGGGAGAGCGGATTCGAAGTGTCCTGGATGGCCCAGTGCTGAGCAACATCGACCGCATTGGCGCTGACCATGTGCAGAGCCTCCTGCTGGTGACCAGAGCCCCTTCTTTGCCCTCCCCCATTTCTCCCTACTAGTCCCCCTCCCACACATGTACGTACAGTGTTCAGCAAGCATCTAGCATATTTTATTTGCTTATTCGCATCTTTGCTGCATATATTCCAAGTACCCTTCAAAGTCTGATGCTGTTTTACTGATGGAAAGACAGGCATAGGTGGGCTAAGTAAAAAATAAGGGATCTTAATCACTGTACGACTGTGTGTGAAAGGCACACACAGGTGTATGGAATGACTGTCCCACAGATGTTACTGGTGTGTGTAGCAAGTCTTCAGCTCACAGCAGTTGGCCCTGTTTTCCTCTGAGGGAGAACCACACCATTCCTTACACTCGCTGAAGACCCTGCACAGTTGCCATCGAGGGCACAGTGAAACAGTGGCTGTGTCCTTTCATACTCTTCCTCTTTGCCTTTTCACTGCAGAAACACTGTGCACCTGTACTGGCTAAGCTGCATCCTCCACCTGACAATCAGGATGCCTATCGGGCAGAATTTGGATCCCTTGGGCCCCTTCTCTGTTCCCATGTGGTCAAGGCCCGGGCCCAGGCTGCTCTACAGGCACAGCAGGTCAACAGGACCACACTGACCATCACACAGGTCAGTCGCTACTGGGGGGAGGGAGAGAGGAAATGAACGATGCATGGGTGGGACATGGCCATGGTGCCCAGGGACAGGGATTCCTCTAGGCCCTGAGGCAGCACAGTCTCAGAGAGCCTGGACCCCATCAGTAAAGGATGCCCCAACCCCAGACACAGCTACTGAGGAAGAGCAAGAGCAGCCAGATCTCCATTCAGCCTTTCCTTTTCCTAGATGCTGATGTTTTCTTCCTGACTCTTCCCTCACAGCCCAGGCCCACATTGACCCTGTCTCAGGCCCCTCAGTCTGGCCCTCGAACCCCTGGCTTGCTGAAAGTCCCTGGCTCCATCGCACTGCCTGTCCAGACACTGGTGTCTGCACGAGCTGCTGCCCCTCCTCAACCTTCCCCTCCTCCAACCAAGTTTATTGTAATGTCATCGTCTTCCAGCGCCTCATCCACCCAGCAGGTATGTGGCATCTGGGACAAGGGATGCAAAGCAGCCTGGGTCACCTCAGAGCTGTTTAGGGAGGCCTCAGAGTAGAGACCAGTCCCCTCAAGGCCCAAAACCAGGAGACAGAAGGGCCACTTGCCAGGGTCTCATGAAGTTTAAGTTGGCAACAGTCTACTGGATCCTGACGATGAAAGCCCTTCACGGGGTGGGTGCAAGGTGATTCACACTGCCTCCCTTTCTCCTCCAGGTCCTGTCCCTCAGCACCTCAGCCCCTGGCTCAGGATCCACCACTACCTCTCCAGTCACCACCACAGTCCCCAGCGTGCAGCCCATTGTCAAGCTGGTTTCCACTGCCTCCAATGCACCCCCCAGTACAGCCCCCTCTGGGCCTGGCAGTGTCCAGAAGTACATCGTGGTCTCACTACCCCCAACAGGAGATGGCAAAGGAGGCCCTCCCTCCCATCCTTCTCCAGTCCCTCCCACCTCATCTTCCCCCTCTCCACTTGGGGGCAGTGCCCTCTGTGGGGGGAAACAGGAAGCTGGGGACAGCCCACCTCCAGCACCAGGGACTCCGAAGGCGAATGGTTCCCAGCCCCCTGGACCTGGCTCCCCTCAGCCTGCTCAGTGATAACATCATCCATCTGCTGACCTCTCCCATGGATTCCTATGTGCACATTTGCAAGCAATATGGAAGAAAGAGTAGGCTTGATACCCCACATGACTTTCTTTTTAGATACTGTACAGTTACTTCCTCGGAATAAAAGTTGATTTGTAAATTCTGAGCCTTCCTGTGTCAGATACCACGGAAGAGGCAAGCCTGCTGGCCTCTCAGGACTTCTGCTTACATCCAGAACCACTCCAAGAAGGAAAATGTCGTCTTCCCATTTGACTGCCTGCTGCCTTTGCTGCCACAGCCTTGTCTGGGGAACCTCAGATCCGAATGACATAGGCGTCACTGTGGCTTAGGTGGCGTACCCACTTGTGGGGGTTGGTATTGCCACTAGGCCTGCAGGTCAGCCTGAGGAAGCGAACCTGGAGGCCGGAACATGTGTGCCGAGGTAGTTCGAAGGATAGGCTTGCAGGGCCCAGCCCCAGTGGAGGGGCTGAGGTGGAAGGCCCGTGGTCAGGGGGTCCTGGTAGGCTGGGAACGTCCATCTGTGAGGAAAGAGGACAGGGAAGCCATGAAGCCGGGCAGCTGCTTACCCTCCTAAGAGCAGGGCAGCAGCTGCACTGGAAAAGCTGAGTATGGTAGGCACAGGTGGAGGTAGAATAGTGGGGTGCAAGAGGGTCACAGGGGATACCTGGAAAAGGCCTGAGAGTTGGGAGCCTCCTTGTATCCGGGGCAGGTTCCAGTGAAGGGCTCCCTCCCCGAGATCTGCCTTTTGCTCTGGGCTGCTTAGCTCCTGAGACAGGCTGGAACATAGACAGAGATGGTCCAGGACACAATGGTACCTGCCTTGGCAAAGGACAGTCTCCCCCCAGGGAAATTCCCTGAAGAGCACAGACTAACCTGACCACCCCTCGTGGCAGCGGAAGGTGCAGCCGGATGTTGACAGCTTGACTACAAAGAAAGGAATGTGGTCAGCCCCAGGAAGGTAGATACCCTTGTCCCTGTTCCTCTTCAATGTCACAATGGAAGTTCACAGGTGCATAATACCCCTTGCCAAATGCTAGAGCCTCTATATTGGCTTCTGAGATTGATGGATACAATTGAAGGAGTAAGTAGTAGGTTCCTAGCTCTGATTCTGACCGTCTTGATGTCCTACACAGCTAAACCAGGCCTGCCTGGCCTCTACTCTTTACCTTTTTGGGGGCAGGTCACATCGTAACTTCAGGTAAACCTGGAGCCTGGAATAAGAAGGCAAAATACTATTATTTAGACCAGATCCTATTGGCATCTTACTGTCACTCACCCAGGGCCTCCATGTGAGGCTGTACAGAAGGCCAAGAAAGAAGAGGGCCAAAATCTAGCCCAATCCCTCTCTCTGCTCATGACTTTTTCCAATTGATGCCCTATCACCTCTATCATCACCCTTTCACAGGAAGTCTTGGGAACATCTATGTCTTGGGCTGGTTTGGTTTCCAGAATGGTTCTAGAACACAAGAAATGGTCTCACCGGCCTGAGCCTCGGTCCCACTGCACAGAGGGAAAGAGCCGGAAAGGGAGCGGGGAGGGAAGATCATCAGAGAGCTGGTATCGCATCACAGTCAGCTGAGACCAGAGAGGAATGAAGTCAGCTTAAGTCTCATGCTTCCAACTGCCTCCCTCCCATATGCTGGATACAGTATGCTGAGCTACCCTGATGCTGACCTCACCCTGGGGTGGCTGCAAGCGGAGGATCCGATGAGACTCAAACTCGTCCAGGTTTACTGAGCTGTGAAATGAGACTTCATCCACCCGAATTCCTGGCCCATAACCTGCAAAGAGAGGCCCCTCTCCTAATCCATGCTTTGGGAGAGAATGGCTGGGGTAGGAGAAGTCTCAATTCTAATTCTTCTCCATGAAACTGTTGGCAGTGAGAAACACCTCTCAGTCTTTCTCACCTCTCAGTTCCGATTTCCCCACACAAAATTCTTCTGTCAAGCCAATGCGCATCTCTGTTGGAGGAAAGACATCTGAAAAGGTCAGCAAATACCAATGATGCCACCAAGGATCCTGTCCCAAACCCAACCCTAGGTCCTCACCAGAGCCACTGGGAAGGAAGCTCTTGAGCCGGAGCTCTCCTTGCACATCCACCTTCAGTGGTGATCCCTGGAAGTGACAGGGTGGTTAGTGCCGAGTCATGACCTCCCAAACCCATTTTCCAAGTACCATTTGTCTTCAGTTTGGATTGGGAGCCCACACTTACATTAGCTGCTATCAGTACAGACAATCTCTCGACCACATCTAAAAAAACTTCATTTTTTTGGCTCTGGAAAAAAAGGGCGAGGATTTGAGTGGTGAAGGTTAACTAAAGACATGCATTCTAAAATGCACTGGCAGAAAAAATAGGGTAATTGAAATAGAATCCTGGGGCACAGGAGTAGAAGGGTACCCGTGTCTAGAATAGTGAAAAGATAAGTCGGAATCTTGGATTCTGATGTCCCAGGGGGAAAAAAAAACCTGAAAGTCTGACCTCAATGATCCTTCCCTGACCTGGTCAGAGCGACTGGAAAGGACTGGGCGGCTGGCAGCACTGCTAGGGGCCACTTTGCTCTGTTGTGTCTCTGCCCCAAACTGTAAAACATCCAAAGCGACCAATCCTCAGCTTTAAAAGCTTCCAAGAAGCCTGCCTTCTCCCTCATTTCCCTCCTACTGACCAAGCCAACACTGCTGAGATCAAAGAGGCTGAAGGGCTTGCTAACCACAGCTTCCGTCTGGATGAAGTTTCTTAGCATCTCTGTGGATGTGGTCTGTATGTAGCCATAATCCTAGTAGTAAGGAAGGACAGATGGTTTTGAGGGGATCAATGGACGAAATGAGTGGAAAAAAGAGTGGGTTTTGTCTCCCAACCACAAGATCCCGCTGCAGAACAGTGGGTGTATCTTCCTGGGGTGCAGGAGAGAAAAAAGGAATTGTTGGTACTTACCAGTACTTCGTCGAGGAGTTCATAGACAAGAGCAACGTTTCTGGAGATGGTCCCTTCACTGAGAGAGCCACAGTAGTCACCCAGAAGAGTAGCTAACCTGAGGACACAGAACAAAGTGTGGACAGCTCCTCCTCCTCTGGGACCCCCACTCTGGGGTCCAGCCCAACCCTCCTCACCTGGAGAGCAGCTCTAAGAGGCTGAAAGGAGAAATGTTTTTTGAAGTCGTGGCCACCAAATAGAGGCCGCTGTGTCTGATGTGAATGAAATGACGGTCATCGTGATACTGAGGCAAGAGGGAAAGTGTTAGGAAAAAGGGGTTGAGGCTCCTGAAGATTCCAAGTTGTACCCTGATGATCCCTGCTAAACAGACAGTAGCAGTGTAGCTTTGGGTGACCTCTGAAACCTCTTGAAAGCCAGGCTTCCTAATGTGCAAAGGGCTAATAGTAACACCAACTCTAGTTCAGGATTGAGCTAGGTAAGGAGCTGAGCCTGATGTACTGTCACAGCTCAATACACTTTCCTTAGTTATTTTTGTTGAAAGACTACCCCTCAATGCAAGTTTAAAAAAATAAAATAAAAAGGACCAAAAAGCAAGAAACCAGTCTTTAAAAATGAAGGACGAACCCATCTCTCAACACCCCCAACTGCACCCTCCCACCGAGTGGTTACCATGACAACTGGGGACTCGTCTCCAGGCAGTCCCATCAGCTTCCGGTAGAAGAGCTCGGCCACATCGCGGCCACCACTGTCCCCGCGGACTGGCCGGGTGGAAGGACAGTTAAGGAACGGCCGACACAGATAGACTCTGAGATCATCTCCCAACCAGCCACTCCATCCTACCCCGTGGCATAAGGATACAGTCTTTGTAGATGAGCGGATCTCCTTTGGAGGACAAGATGAAGAACTGAGAAATCATGACTCTTCTGGAGAGTAGATCAGCAGATGGTGAAAGTTGGGCCTGCCCCGCCTTGCGGCCCCGGAACAAAAGGAAGCCTGTGGGCTGGCCCTTTAAGAGATCGACTCGCCTCCGTTCGCGTCACTCAGGGCCGCGGGAAACCCGGCTCCTGTCCCGCCCCTCTGGACTATTCAGTCTCCACCTGCCTGCTGCCTTTGCCTCACTCAGTCCAGCCTTGCGGGGAGATTGGTCAAGGGTGGAGCCTGCGGCGTGTGGGCGGGGAGAAAGGCCATCCTTTCCTACTGGCCCGCGAGCAGCGTAGCTGGTCACGTGGGAGGCGACGTTTCGCGCCAATTTCGGTTGGTTCTGCATAGTCCTGTGCGTGGCCGTTTTCAGTTTCCCTGGTTCAAACTACTACTTTCGCCAACTGCTGCTGAACGGTCACTGGCAGCGATGGCACTGAAGGATTACGCACTTGAGAAAGGTAAGGGTTTGCAAGCCTGGGGGGGGGGGGCTTAACGGGAAATGTGCTGGCTGACACCTGTTGGTGTGAATTGGGGTCGGTGTCGGCGGGCTCTGGGATGAGCGAGGCTAGAAAAGCTGGGCGGCGAGCAGACGGCACCTAGGATACTCATGGTGGAGCGTCGAGGAAGTGCTGCTGTCTTGCCCAGGAACGGTGTCGGTGTCGTGGGAGAGATAACTCGGTTGGGAGTTGTAGAGAGGGAAAGGGTTATGCCCAGAAGAGAACGAGAACTAGGCTGTGGTTGGCCAAGGGTTCTTGGTCTCAGGAATGGAGACTGAACCCGCCACTCTCCAAACCTTGGGGGACTAGAGAGTTCCCGCGTCTGGTCTAGACCCGCCGAAGCCTTGGGGGCGGGCCGGTCGGGGCCGCTGCGCGCTCCAATTGGCCATTTCCAGCCGCCCCTCCTAGCGGAAGTGGAGGCGGGCGGAAGTGGCGCGTTGCTGTCGAAGATAGTGTCGTCCATAAACAGTGTCCTTCCGCGCATTGGACTCGCAGATAGCTACCTAGGGTTGGGGGCGTGCCTGGAATTCGGATATTTAGAGCGAACTCTCCAGGGGCAGCTGGGCGTTGTAACTGAGAGGCCCTGGGCGTGCTAGCCAATCTCCGGACGGACTCCCGCCTCGGGCGGAGGAATCCCAAGTGGTGAAGCGGCTGGAATGCCAGCCCATGTGCTTCTTTGTTTACTAAGAGCGGAAGCAGTGGCGGGAGCGGGGGTGGGGTAGTGGACTGGCCTGGTTGAGGTCCGGGCGAGAGTACGGCTTTAGAGAGTCCCAAGAAAAAGAGGAGTTTTACGGGTGGAAAGAGAAAACCTTGGGGTCCAAGTATGTTGTTGGGTGCAGGAGCCCATTGGAGAAGGGTACTGAGATTCTTAACTAAGACTAGAATTTTCCTGGGAAAGGGTGTTGGGTAAGACACCTAGCTGCCAAGGGCCGCATATTTTTGCCTTAAAACCAAACTTGGGGAACAAGTCCTACCCTCTGGAAGAACTGTGCAGGTTTACTTACATCTTTATATAATCAACTAGTGAGACCTGTTTAAAACAAGAGTAGGTTTTTAGGCTTCTTATAGGGATTTTCAGTAAAATCCAAAAGAAAGATTGCTTCTTGTGATTTTACATTTGCCTTGTAGAAAAGGTTAAGAAGTTTCTTAAGGAGTTTTACCAGGATGATGAATTTGGAAAGAAGCAATTCAAGTATGAGAGTCAGTTGGTAAGTTCAACACAGGGTGAAGGGAATTGGGAATAGAGTGGCACTTAGGGAACTGTAAGAGTGGCCTGGCTTGTTTCAACAGGTGTGTTGGTCCCTTAGAGACTTGTATAGTAGGGCACTTGATAAGTGGTATAACGTTACACTGTAATAACCAGAGTGCTTTCAGGATTTGGGGGGTGGTTGTCTTTGGTGGGCAGGTTGCTGTTGTGTGCAGCTGTGTGCTGCTCTTTGCTCCCTGTGGATAACCAGACTGTTGAACTCACAACAGTGGGTTTTGAGGGTGAACTAGATAAACGTGGTCCTGAGGTGTTGCAAAAACCCAGGTTCGGCTGGCTCATCGGGAACAAGTGGCAATGTATGTGGACCTGGATGACGTAGCTGAAGAAGATCCTGAGTTGGTGGACTCAATTTGTGAGAATGCTAAGCGCTACATGAGGCTCTTCGCTGATACTATTCAAGAGCTCCTGCCTCAGTACAAGGATAGGGAGGTGAGTGGTTGTAGGACACAGCATAGCAAGGAAACAAAGCTTTTGAGACTTTTTGGATGCTAGTGGTTCGTGAGCTAACAGAAGCAGGGCACTGATTTACCTGGTGCCCTCTATGCTCTCCTTTGCTCATCTTTTTGTTACTTGAGACACCCTGCTATGTAGTTCTGGCTGACCTCCTGCCTCAACCTCCCAAGTACTGGGATTACAGGTCTGTGTCACCATATCCATTTTGCTTTCCTCATGTTGTCTGTCTCAGTGCTGTTTTATTTTTGTATTTCTGTTCTTTTAGGTGGTAAATAAAGATGTTCTGGATGTTTATATTGAGCACCGGCTGATGATGGAACAGCGGAGCCGGGACCCTGGGGCAACGCGAAATCCCCAGAATCAGTACCCTCCTGAACTCATGCGCAGATTGTGAGTGTCCCTGTGGGAAGGGTCAGGGACTTTTTCTCCTGAACCTTACTGATGACAGTTTTTTCTTCTTAGTGAGCTATATTTTCAGGGGCCAAGTAGCAATAAACCTCGTGTGATCCGGGAAGTACGAGCTGACTCTGTGGGAAAGTTGGTCACTGTGCGTGGAATTGTAACTCGTGTCTCTGAAGTCAAACCTAGGATGGTGGTGGCCACTTATACTTGTGACCAGTGTGGGGCAGAGACCTACCAACCGGTATGTATAGAGTATGGAACAAGAAGGAATTTAACTGTTTAGTCATTTTTCTAAAGAGTAATTTTATCTATTGGAGTTACTGTCTTTTTCTCTGGTTGTTGTGAAAGATGCTCACATACTTGCATTTTTTTCTTCGGTACATAGTGGTCGTCCTGTGTTTTGTTGGTGTTCGTCATTATTGATCTAGACTAATAGTTCAGAAAGTTCTTAATACTTATGTTTGCGGAAGATAAGAAGTGACTCAAGTGACCACTACAATAAGGAGGGTTTTTTTCCCCTATTGACTCATTGGTGCTTCCTTTGTTTCATGTCCTAGATCCAGGCTCCCACTTTCATGCCTCTGATCATGTGCCCAAGCCAGGAGTGCCAAACCAACCGCTCAGGAGGACGGTTGTATTTGCAGACTCGTGGCTCCAAGTTCATCAAATTCCAGGAGATGAAGATGCAAGAACATGTGAGTCGTGGGTATATGGCCTGTGACACGTAAAGCAGAGAAGTCACTTGAATCGTTTTGTCATTTATGCAGTGGCAAAAGGAAAGAACAAAAAAGGGAAGACCTAAGGCAGAAAAGTCCCCTGGTGCAGAGTGGCAGTGTAATGGGTTTTCTGATTGAGTTGGGAAGAAATAAACGCCTGTTTCCCTCAGTCTAATCTGAAGCTGGGTAGACTGAAACAAGTGAGGAGTGTGATGCCTAGGAGTGAAATTTAGGTTCCTATAGACCTTATGTTCTTTTCCTTTGTCCTATGTACTCTGCTAGAGTGATCAGGTGCCTGTGGGAAATATCCCTCGCAGTATCACAGTGATGGTAGAAGGAGAAAACACAAGGATTGCCCAGCCTGGGGACCATGTCAGTGTCACTGGTATCTTCTTGCCAATCCTGCGTACAGGGTTCCGACAGGTAGTCCAGGTAAGAAAGGGACTCTTCATCTCCTCAGAGAAAACTTTAACAGCAGTAAAACATCAAACTAGAACAGAGCGTGTTGTGAAGAAACCATTAGGGAATCAGGTACTGGGCAAGTTAAAAGGATTTCATTTACAGCCCAGTGCATTTTGTTCCAAGGGCTTACTCTCAGAAACTTACCTGGAAGCCCACCGAATTGTGAAGATGAATAAGAGTGAGGATGACGAGGTTGGGACTGGAGAGCTGAGCAGGGAAGAGCTGAGGCAAATTGCAGGTGAGGGGTCAGGGGAAAGAACTTGGTGGGATTGAGTTTCATCCTAGTCCTTATCCACGAAGAAATAATGTAATTTCCTTACAGAGGAGAATTTCTATGAAAAGCTGGCTGCTTCTATCGCCCCCGAGATATATGGGCATGAAGATGTGAAGAAGGCACTATTGCTGCTGCTGGTGGGCGGCGTGGACCAGTCTCCTCGAGGGATGAAAATCAGAGGTCAGGAGGAAAAGGAGGTTTCAGCAGATGAAGTCAGTTGGGAGGAAAAAACAGAATAAAATAAGTTAGGGTCCATGTAGCTTAAAAAGTAAGATCTAGCATCTTGGCTTCATGGCTGTGTGAGTGTTCAGCACAGATAACATGAGGTACAGGAGTGAGGCAGAAATGTTCTTCGTTGAACAGTTTGCAGCTGGAGAATGGTCACTCTCGGCTTCCTCTTCCAGGCAACATCAACATCTGCCTGATGGGGGATCCTGGTGTGGCCAAGTCTCAGCTGCTGTCTTACATTGATCGCCTGGCACCCCGCAGTGAGTAGGGACAGGCTGGATCACAGGGTTTGTTGAAAAGGCTGTGGTGGGGAGGTGGCTGCTTTTGCGAGGGTTAATGTTGGGGAAATGGAAATGTTGCCAGCCCAGCACCCCCACTTTTCTGCCACCTCCACAAGGCCTGGCCTGAACAGGCCTTTACCTCACTGGTCACGTGGGCGGCGACATTTTGCACCAATTTCGGTTGGTTCTGCATAGTCCTGTGCGTGGCCGTTTTCAGTTTCCCTGGTTCAAACTACTACTTTCGCCAACTGCTGCTGAACGGTCACTGTGTGCCTCCTTTTTTCCTTTTGTTGTCTGATATCTGTTGCTTCCTTCCTTTTTAGGCCAGTATACGACTGGCCGGGGCTCCTCCGGAGTAGGGCTCACGGCTGCTGTTCTCAGAGACTCTGTGAGTGGAGAGGTGACCTTAGAGGGTGGAGCGCTGGTGCTGGCTGACCAGGGCGTGTGCTGCATCGATGAGTTTGACAAGATGGCCGAGGCTGACCGCACAGCCATCCACGAGGTCATGGAGCAGCAGACCATCTCCATTGCCAAGGCTGGCATTCTCACCACACTCAATGCCCGCTGTTCTATCCTGGCTGCTGCCAATCCTGCCTATGGGCGCTACAATCCTCGCCGCAGCCTGGAGCAGAACATACAGCTTCCAGCTGCACTGCTGTCTCGATTTGACCTTCTGTGGCTGATTCAGGACCGCCCTGACCGAGATAATGACCTTCGGTGAATGAAGCTCAGAGAGCCCTTTTGCTGGGTGGGAAGGAAGTGAAATTAGAAAAATCCCTCTACTTATCTGCTCATAGAAATTCCAGAGCCTCCCCCTCTTGCTGGTCTGTAGTTCCTTGGGAGAAAAGGGTCAGGCCTGTGATGCTGATTTGGAGGGAGTCCTGGGACGTCCCGTTCCTGCCATGCTATGAGGAAGACATAGAGCTAAGGGAGGGATACTGAGGCTTTGGTGTATAGCTCTAAAACATTCCTTTGTGCCTCTGCTCTTCCCAGGTTGGCCCAGCATATCACCTATGTGCACCAGCACAGTCGGCAGCCCCCTACCAAGTTTGAACCTTTGGACATGAAGCTTATGAGGTAGGGGGCCAGGGAGAATCAGTGTGCCCTTAGCATGTTGGGCTACATGTATGTTGAGAATCTCAATCTTGGGGTGTATAGTTTTCACCACTACCCCCCTTCTCTTGATATTCCTGAGCTTGAGAATAGTGAATCAAACTAAATAAACTACACACAGAGCACATACCCTGACCATATGAGAACAGTGTGAAGACTCGTGAGAACCTTTTTTGCCTCCTTTTCTTCACAGTCCCTTTAGACCTGATCTGGTTGTAAACAAAGTATTTCTGTTTCTTTTAGATACCCCCTAAGCACAGAGGAAGAGACTAGTTCATCTCTGGCAGGTGGATTTTTGTTTTTGCAAAGGCCATTTTTCTGAAAAGTTGGAAGTAGTTTGAAATACACTGGCAGCTTATATTTGGCAAAATCCCTTGGTGTGATACTCAAGCCAAGCAAATAATTCGCTGACTTTTTTTTTCTACTTAAACTCTCTTCCAAGAATTTTCTCAAACAAGTCTTTCAACAGGAAAAAAAGATGCCTGTGCAGCCTCTCCCTCATCTCTTTTCTGCTCTTCCTACCAACTTTTTCTCCTGCAGACGGTATATAGCTATGTGCCGCGAGAAGCAGCCCACAGTGCCCGAGTCTCTGGCGGACTACATCACAGCAGCATACGTGGAGATGAGGCGAGAGGCTTGGGCCAGTAAGGATGCCACCTTTACCTCTGCCCGGACCCTGCTGGCTATCCTCCGACTTTCCACTGCTCTGGTGAGTGCTGGTCCCTGTTGTGCTGGAGGGGATGTGACCTATACCTAGCAGCTGTCCCTGGTGTGGTCCTTGCCTGAACACGGCCACCTCCCTCTCACTGGCCCTGCCGGGGCTAAAGTGCTGACAGTGCAGATAGTGGTCCTCTCTGTGCTACCGCACTGTGGGTACTTGCTGCTCCAGCAGGGCATGCACAGCGCCCATGGAGGGAAAGGCCTTCTTGCTGCCACAATCTCGGGTGGGTGGGTTGGTTCATCTCATCCTGAATGCTAGAGCCTGTGCTATAAACCTTCATTTCTGTTCTCATCTCTTGGACCTTCGTCATGGGGGCTCCAAAGTGCTGTTCGTGCAGGTAGTGTGATTACCTGACCTACTGCTGAGCTAGCACTTCCCGAGCCCCCAGGACACAGCCTCTCCCAGTTGCCTTGGCTGAGCTCCCGAGGCTCCATCTGTCATGGTGGGGAGCCCAGTGGAGTTCAGAAGGGTCTGGTCTCCCTCACAGGACAGCTGAACACCGGGACTGGCCAGTGTTGAGAGGCGGAGACTTGGGCAATTGCTGGACGCTGCCCTGGGCATTGCACTTGTCTCGGTCTGACAGTGCCGGCCCTTCACTACGGATGGGGGTGTAGGGTGGGATCCTCACTTTTGTCCTATGACACAGTAGACAACAATAGCTTGCCCAGCCTTAAACTGGAATGAGGGGGAATCCCTGACTTTTCTGTTTCCCTCTTCCCGTCTCCATCTCTCCCCTGGCTTCCCCTTAGGCACGCCTGCGAATGGTGGACACAGTGGAAAAGGAAGATGTGAATGAAGCCATAAGGCTAATGGAGATGTCAAAGGACTCACTTCTAGGCGACAAGGGGCAGACAGCTAGGTGAGTGGCTCAGTGAAGGATGAAACAGGTCACCTTGAGTTTCTTGAGCAGGTCACTTTATCTTTGTGGCTTCTGTATTCACAAGCATATGAGGTTGGCCTCAATATTAATACCAGCCACCATCCTGTGTTGCTGCCGAGTGTACTGGTTTATTCCCTGATCTTACAAACTCATGCATTTCCTTCAGGACTCAGAGACCAGCAGATGTGATATTTGCCACTGTCCGTGAACTGGTCTCGGGGGGCCGAAGTGTCCGGTTTTCTGAGGCAGAGCAGCGCTGCATATCACGTGGCTTCACCCCTGCCCAATTTCAGGCGGCTCTAGATGAATACGAAGAGTTAAATGTCTGGCAGGTCAATGCTTCCCGCACACGGATCACCTTTGTCTGATGACATCCTGCTTGAGACACTGGGACCCACCTGAGATCACATACTAACTTGTCCCTTCTGAAGGTGTAATGCCCTGGAGAGGATGGAGACTCCTTTTCCTGCCTTGCACTTCTTTTTTATTTCTTTTGCTAATAAAAGTTATATTTAGTGTCATCTAAATTACGTCTTCCCAACAGTTTGATGTTTAGATTCATAGTGTGTTCTTTTTTATTTCACCCACTCAATAAGCTGATGTACCTTGTCCAAGTGCTAAGCACAAATACAGACATTAAGACAGCCAAAGAGTAAGATGTCCCTGCTGTAACTGGGCTTTAGTTTGGGCTGGGACTAGGCTTTGTCATGTTCCTGGAGTTTGCTTCTGCGGCTCCTCCCCTTTTTCACCTCCATCCCCTATTTAGCCTCAGATTTCTGTTGTGTATCAGACTCTGGATACAACACCAACATGAGATGCCAGCCTCATTCCAAGTTTGCTCTCTATTTTTGTTTCTTGAGGCAGTCTCCTAATTCAGGCTGGCCTCAAATTTGCAGCAATCCTCCTGTGTCAGCCTCCAAAGTGTTAGGATTACAGGTATTTACTACCACTCCTGGCCCAGTTTATCCTTTGTGTCACTGGAATCAAGCCTTGTATATGCCAGGCAAACATTCTAGAGCCATGTCCCCAGCCCCCACTTTTTTTTTGTCTTACTTTTATCTGTACCAGGGATCAAACTCACAACTGCCTGCTTGTAAGGCAGGCGCTTATGCCACTGAGCTAAATCCCCAACCCAAGCCCTTTATATTTTTAAGGCAGTCTCAAGTTACCCAGGCTAGCCTTAAGCAGAGGTTGCCTTAGCTACCCAAGCAGCTGGGTTTACAGTGCACTACTATACCTAGCTTCATTGGTTTTCAGATGCTCTCATCAGAATCAGACATCTTGCTCATCTTTGTTCAACTCTACAATCCTATTTAATAGAAACAGGAACTGCAGTGATGCAGGGATGTATTGTCTGGCACACAGAATTACATTAAGCTTAATCTTGGGCCCCTTCCTAGCTTCCTCTTTAAAGTATGGGGGACACTAGCCTTGCCTCATAGGGCTGAGGCACCTAGTTGTAACACGTACCGCAGTGGCCACAGGTCAAGGGTTTGAGTTGCCTATTGTAAAAATGTATTCAGTGTCCTTTTCTCCCTTGTTATGTGAAAAACACTTCTAATGAAGTTAATTTAGCTTAGAAAGACAGGTTTGTAGAGTTGGCCTAGATGAGCTGCCATCAGGATATTAGGAGACAGAACAAAGATCATATAAGTGGAAGTACTCAAGTCTTTGACTCCATTCCACCCTAATGAATATACAGTCACCTCATCTGTGGTCATTGAAGGGGACTAAGAAGAGCTGATAATAAACAAGGACTCTGCCTCTGAACAAGGCTGGAACAAAAACATCCTTTTTAAAGTCCAAGTAGAGAGACCTATCTGGTGCCTAACAGAGAGGACAAAGCCACTGGGAAGGGGTGCTGAGGGGCTGCTCTCTTTTTATTAATGACAGCAGTTTCTAAAGAGAGTGTAGCGCCCAGCCCCCTTGGGACAGCTGTCTGACCCCTGTGCATGATCTCTTCAAGTACCCTCGTCAGAAGAAGAGACCCCGCATTCGCCTGCCGATGCCTTGTCGGTCGTAGAGGACGTTGAATTTGTTCACAAACTGGTTCATGGTGTTGCAAGTTTTGGTGATGGTACCAAGGTAGGCCATGAGCCCAACATCGTTGCATTGCTGGGAGGGAACAAAAAGAACCAGTTCCCCAGAGGTTCCTCACATCATGCCCAGTGGACAACAGTCCCATGTCTTGCCTTACAGAAATGATGGTGTAAGCCCCACCTCCCCATTCAAAGTTTCACACTCACATCATAAAAGTCTGTCTTGAATTTGTCTGTGCTGAGCACAGGGAGGCAGTGACACAAAGCATAGGCCTCCCGCAGGATCTCATGGTTGAAGGGGACTTCTCCTAAGGGTGTAAAAATGCTGCAATGATGCTGATGCTGTAACTTCCCCACAAGAGAAGCAATGTTAAAGTGCCAGAGAGGCACCTGTCCTACCTGCTTCAGAGGCCTTGACATACTCCAAGATGAGCTTGACACGGCTGTGCAACATCTTGATGGCACTGTGCTGTGCTATCAAATGTTCAGCCACTGTAAGGAGATAGGGACAGGTGATGGGTAAGAAGGCATGTGGTGACCTTTCCACCCTGTCCAAGGAATCGCCCCCCTTTACCAGTAGAGTTCTCTCCACTGCCTGTTGCTGTCATTCGGGCTACATGGTCTACACCGATGCGTTCAGCTTCCTCTGTGGCCAGTGTGTAGGTCAGTTCAGCGAACAGCATTGTAGCCTATAGGGTACAGTATCCCACACATACAGAGTCAAAAGCAGGAAACAGGCCAATAGCAGGCTGTGAAGATTGAAAGGTAGTGTACTACCTACCTCTCCATTGATTATATCAATGACAGACTCAAAAACACTGACAGGCAGCTGTAAAGAACAGACGGAAAACAGTTCTTACTAAAGGCAAACATACCACAACCTGTACTGTGTTCCAAGTTGGCCTGGGCCCTTTCAAGCATTTTCTCCTATCTAGTTTTCCCAAGAACCCAGTGAAGTAGGAATTATGTCCACTTTATGTGTGACAGTGCTGATTAGAGGTTTAATAACTCAAAGTCACACAGCTCATAAATGAAAGCATAGAGATTCAATCTGGCATTCTCCAGTAAAGAAGAAATGTGTCACACAGTGTAATATTGGGAATGAGGATAAAAGGCATAGAACAGACGAGGAGAACAAAGTGGGCTTGGAATCAGAATACTCACATCTGTGTGCTTGGTCATAGGGTTCAACTTAAGAAAGAGGGGACTCTCAATTATTTCACACACCTGGAAGAGAGGGGCAATGGACAGCAAAATCAATCTCCATCTTTCATCTTCCCCTTCGTCCTCTGTTCTCTGCCCCAGCATGCACACGTGTGAGCATGTATACCTGCTTATGGACGTGGATGTCGGAGGGGTCAGGCGGCCCTCCTGTAGTATACCAACCCAGAAATTCCAGCTCCTTGAATACCTGTTTAACTGGAGAGGAAGGGGCCAGGGCACAAAGTATTTCTTTAAACCACCCTTCCTCAGTTTGAAGCTCCTGGTGTATATTTACCAACTGCCACTGCCTCAAATTCTGGTTCACTTTAGAGTAATTATTCCTTTCTAAGCTGTCTTCTCTCATGTGGAGGAATACCTGAATGTGCTTTTTTTTTCTTCAGATATTCTCTATCATTCCTCCTCTGCTCTCATCCTTTTGTTTGCTCCTTCCCAACCTTCAATCTCTCCCACCTTGCACTTTTTTCTTTTTAAACTCCCACTCCTCGTCCCCACTTCAGTTCCCCTCTCACACTGCTCCTCCTTGGTGTAATAATATTCCTTGTCAATGATTATCTTCTCTTCCACGGTGTGGGACAGCAGCTCAAAGGAGTTCATCACCTCGATATTTCGGCCTTCCTGCTTCCCGATTAGAGCCCCAATCACTGGGGAAGAGAGAATGACAGGGAACTGGTGAGCATAAAGCATCTGAAACATTTCCCTCATCACCTGAGGGACTAAGGTCAGTTTGAACCTTGGGGAAACAGTAATTTGAGGGAGGACGATTAGCTTCAGAAAAAAGGGAAAGATCACTGTTTGGAGGAAGGGACCAAGGCAGAGGGTTGGAGATTCATGCGGAACACTCACCCTGGACAGGACGCCCCTCCTGGGAGCGCATGCGGATCCAGTGGTCTGAGATGTTGAGAATGACAAGGGGATGAAGAGCGACGGAAACGCTGCCCGTCACGCCAGAGGCCATCACGCTGGGGACTACTATGCGTGGAGAGAAAGGAGAGAGAATGACAGTCCGCACCCCACATTCTTCCCTGGAAATCGGAGTGAGGGAGAGCAGAGCCTGGGCCCTCCGTCTCTCCTCCAAGTTAACCGGGAAGACAAGCTGCTTTTCTCGGGGGTACAAGAAGGCCTTAATGCACCCCCGAAATGGTGTCTCCCGAAGCCGCCCCACAGGGCCCATTACCTGCTGCATCCACCTCCATCCCGCTGCTCCCTCCAGTCCCGTTTGTCGCAGCCGCCGCCGCTGCCGCCATTTTCCCCGCGCCCGCCAGCCTCGGCCCCGCCCCCTTCCTTCTCGGCTTCCGTCTGCGAACTGCGCATGCTCAATATCCTCGTGGCGGTGAGGGTCGGGGGAGGGAAGTGGTCCGTAACCATGGTATTCAGCCTCCAGGACTCGCGCGTCCCAAAGGGTTTTCCTGTACCCTGCTCATGCCTCTCGCGGTTGACCCCATACGAATCACTTAACATCCCGTCCAACTTGATAATGTCTTTAAAATTGAGATGAAAATGCCCAATTTTTAAGGCAACAGAATAAATGAAATGCCATCTTTATTGTCCTCAGAATGAAAACCAAACTTTTGATCACAACCTGCAAGCGCCTGCATAATCTGGTCCTGATTGTCGGTCGACCCTGACCTATGCTTTTTCAGCCCTTGATCCATATGCTTCAGTTACTTTGGACCTCATATTTTTGTTTTCCACTACTTGGGTTTGAACTCAGGACCTTTGCACTAAGCTACGGCTCCAACTTTTGTTAATTATTTATTTATTTATTATTTAACGGTAGCAAAGTTTTAGTAAAGGTAGGAAAAGAATAAGCCCTGGGAGCGAGTTTGTGCCAAGAAAAGTAGGAAAAGATGCATACCCTTCAGTGTGAGGAAGGGCCACCATATGAGAGAGAACACAGTAGCACACTTTTTAATTTAATTTAATTTTTAAAGGTCTCGCTGTGCAATTCAGGCTGACAGTAAACTCACTATGTAGCTGAGGTTAGCAGGGAACTTGTGGAAATCCTCCAGTCTCAGCCCTCCATGTGCTGGGATTACAACTATGTAACACCACACCCAGCTTTGTTACTTTGTCAGGACAAGGTCATATTCTAGTGCTAAACTGCCCAGATTTGGCGATCCTCTTGTTTCAGCCTTTGAGAGTGCTGAGATTACAGGCAGGCACCATCATACCCAGCTCTTCACACTGTCTTTCACACACTTTATTCTCTCCTGCTTAAGGGCCAGGAGTTCCTTGGTTCATCACTTTATCCTGGTACCTAAATATTTTTTGAGCAAATGCTCCATAACACTGCTTCTCCTTCCCCTCCTATTGTCCCCTTCAAGTTGTTGGTCTGTACCAGCCTGCAGAAGTACCTAGGAACCTGGTTCTAGGAAAACTGTTTTGGTGATAATGGTAACTTGTGGAGATTAAGCAGTTTCTCCACTTAGGAGCCTAGCTGAAGGAAACTTATGAAGGGCCAGCAATGCGCACAGGAAGGAACCTGAGAAATCCTACAGTGTGACAGAGGATTTGTCAAATTGTAGACCCACCAGTAAATCTCCAAGGTCTGGGCCAGCTGAAGGATTTGTCAAATAAAATCATACATATCTCCTTCCTCTTAGGAAAAATAAAACTAAAAAATCTACCCCTACCCTTTCCCCAGTACTAGAATGGAACTCAAGGCCCTCACAGTGAGCTACATCTCCAGTTGTTTTTTGTTTGTTTTATTTTGTTCTTTAAAATGATCTTGCTATGTAGCTCAGGCTATCCTTGAACTCAGAAGAGTTGACCCTTAGGCAATCTCAGCCTTGGCATACTAGGAAGAACACCTAATTAGAACAATTATGTCACCTTGGCTAAGGTAGTATCATTAGCAATAACATAGCATCAAACACAGCCTAGAAAATGACAAACTGTAATAACCATATAAACTAGATTTACGGTTATATAACAAAATCTAAAACAAAGCAGAAAATTGTATGAAGTAAATTCACCCACTATGGCAATTTTACCCTCCGGGAAAAGATTTAAATGGGGTGGGGGGAAATAGAGAAATAGAAAAAAAAGAAGAGATTAGAAACAAGGCTGGTGGACAAATGAAGATTATGCAAACTTTGGAAAACTGGTTAAGAAGACAAGAGGGAAAGAGAGAAGGAGAAAACAAAAACAAGAACAGAACAACTAGAAGCAGTGTTCACATTATTATAAAAACAGGAACAATCAAGAAGAAAAAATATCCACTTCAAGGTGCATCTCTGCTGTCACTGGTAAACAGACCAAGCCTACATCTGTGTTGATTAATCCCAGCAGCCCAGTCTGGATTTATAGTGGGGTACTGAGTAATCCCAGGAAACCTGTACCTTTTGTGCCACTGAGAATCAGGCTTGTTTTTGGCTGTGAAGCTGGAGCCTGATTTGTTCAGCCTGCAGTGCTCTATTTGCCTCCTGCTGACTTGAACTCTGCTCCCTGCCAGTTTGAACTTGGATCCTTGACATGCTACCAGCTCAACTCAGTTCCACCTCCTCCTGTCACTGAGAGCTGCTGGACACATTAGCCCACAGTTGCTGAGTTCTGAGCTTGGTTATTTTATCTCTAACATAGCTACCAGCCAATCGCCCTCTCCTGGCGGATCTCTGATTCCAAATAACTCACAAGCCATTGCAGTCTGTCACATCCACTGCTCCACTCCACTGGTGCATCTCTCTGCAGAGGTCTCTGGGGTTGCCAGTAGTTGCTGTGTGTCTTCAGATTCTAGAGCCAGCACCTTCCCCACCCCACCTTGTAGCAAGCCAGGGATCAGGGAGGAAGCTCCACTTGCCACCTCCTTGTTTTGTGTTGAGGTGTCTCTCATCATTCTCCCCATGGCTTCAGTTGTTGCTTCAGTTCCTCACTGGATCCTGGGATCCACTTCCTTCCTATTCTCTTCCTCACGTTGCTGTAGTGCAGTGTCTAGACACCACAGCAGAGGATATTTCTCTGCTGTGCATATCTCTGCCATCTTCCTAGAAGTCCCATGTTTTGTTTTTTGAGACAGGGTCACCTTACGTAGTCCAGGCTGGCCTTGAACCTACTGTGTAACATAGGCTGGTCTCAACTCACAGTGATCCTCCTGCCTCAGTCTTATGAGTGCTGGGATTACAGGTGTGTGCTGCCACACCTGGCAGAGACGGGTAGCTTCTAAGTGGTACAGTCCTTCAGAGATTGAGGTCTATGTTAATAAAGCTGATAATTTTTATTACTGTCTCAAAAAGACCCCTTGCCTTTTTCTTATTTCAAATGCTTTTAAAACGTTATTTAGCTATTTGCATAACTCATTAAAACAGTGATTACTGTAAAATATCAGAATGACTAAAACTGAATCAGTTAATAATACATACTTCAGAAGTAAACTCACTAAACGTTTTTTAAAAGTACTAAAAACTCTCAAATTGAGATTATGGTGTTATCCTTTCCAAACTTCTAACAACATGAAACGTAAGGTATCATCTGTTGTTTTATCTTTTCCTTCCTCAGGGCGGAGGTGACTAGGCTGGCAGGGAATAGAGTGGAGGGGCTGAGAAATAAAGACACTGAGGAGTGCCTGGCCTGCCTGGCCTCCACCGCCACTGTCTCTGAGCGTGTGGTATTGTCTAGAAGTTGTATCTCTTTGGGATTGCTGAACGTTGCTGTAACTCTCTCCTCTTGGTGTGCTCAGTCTTGAAGAAGGACAAGGTAGGGTAAATAAATATAGGGTTAAAAAAAATCTTATTTTGCCCACTTTTAGACAAGTACTCCCTAAATCACTAGCATGCCTCAATGCAGAGCTGTAAAGAAATTCGACTCAGTTTTACAAAATGAAGGCCCTGCTTTGTTCTGCCTTTAGTTATTCATTGGACATTTGTAGGCCTGAAGGGCCCAAGAGTTTGTCCTTTGTCCCTGTGCTAGGCTGTGACTGTCATCATTCATTTATTTAACAAATGTTCAGGAATGCCCTCTATTGGCAAGCACAATTCTAGGTGCTGGGCACCCCCCACTGAGCATGACAGAGTTCTGACCTCCTGAAGCCCGTATTCTAAGTGTAGGAAACAGACAACAAGCATGCATACTGTGATACCAGGGACTGGGGTGTGCTGCTTAGCATGGAAAGGTGAGACCTGGATGGAGCCAGGAGCCAGGCATAAAGGGATTTGGCAGAGTATTCCAAGCAGAGGGGCCAAAGGCAGCAAAGGTCTTGAGGCAGGAGACCATTGATGTGTCCCAGGAGTAACAAGAAAGCCAATGACAGGAGCTCAGTGGGAGAGGGGAGAGAGTAACAAGACATGAAGCCAGAGCAGTGACAGAGTTGGAAGCCATATAGGAGGTTAGAAGGGTTTTCATTTTCAACCTCAGTGAGATCCAAATGAAGTGACATGATTTGACTCATGCTTTGAAAGGATCATCCAAAGGAAAAATAAAAACCAAGAAAACTAAAAAGAAGAAGAAGAAGAAGGAAGAGAACCAGCAATAGCAGCAGCAGCCAGGCATGATTTTGGAGCCAGCAATCCCAGTACTGTTGGGCTGGATGCTGAGGCAGGCGGATTGCAAATTCAAGCCCAGTTTGGGAAGCAGCAACTTAGTGAGACCCTGTCTCAGAATAAAAGGGCCAGGGGTGCAGCTCGGTGTGAAGACCTTGGGTTCAATCCCCAGTACCCTCCCAAAGTAAAAACTTAAAGGTAAAAAGGCCTCCTTTCTACCCTGCCTTCATCAAAGAGAAAAATCTAAGTGAATTCTTGGGTTTTTTTCATGTTTTGTTAGTATGTGTTTGGATACACAATAATTACATCCGTCTTGGGGAATTGGAGCACATACATACCACATCTTAATCCTTTTCACTTCCTCTTCCACTCCCCAGCAGAGTTCACTTTCAAGGGCCATAAGGATGTGGTCTGAGCCGCAGACCAGAATGGAGCAGAGGCATGGGAACCTGAAAAAGCGTGGAGAGAGGCATCAGGAGTAGAGGCTGTCAAAGGTCCCATGACCAGGATGAGGAGGTGCCTCTAGACATCCTGTGTTTGAGCACTAGCTTGGTGCCAGTCAGTACTATCAGAGAACGGGTCTCTACCATGAGCACAGACGCAAAGTGACCCAACTCTCAGCAGCCAAAAGTTACTTCCACAGTTCGTGGCCCCAAAAGGCAAATTTTTAATTTTCCATGCGTGTAATTTTCATGGAAAAGGTAAATCAAGGAGCAAGGCCATTAATAACAGTGCAATTCAATAAAATGCAGCAAGGTTCATCCAGGACAGAGCTGGCCAGACCAGGATGAGAATGGCCTTGCCCTGTGCCCGCCCATTGAGCAGCACAGTGAAACCACTTTGGGTTTTACGTGGTA